CATTTGTGATTCTTTTTATACTTATTCTTCTGCTGTGTGTAGAAAAAAAAATATTCTCGCCATCATGATCAAGATGATGATGATGATGATGATTCAACGAAACTCTATCCTTGGATATTTTATTTTCTGAAATCAAAATGAATCAAATGGATGGATGGATGGATTTGAAACAACAAAACGAAAAACAAAAAAGAAATTATCTTTTTGTTTGTTTGTCTGTGAATAGGTTTTTTTTTTTTTTTTTCTCAATTTGATGATACAAAAATTTTCAGTTTTTTGCCATTTTGATTTGTGGAAATGCGTGAACTGGCTGACTGACTAAGTAAGCTTTGTATTTATTTTTTTTTTAAATTTCAGTGTCCAATTTCATTTCCATGATGAATGTGAATGATTGAATGAATGAATGAAAAAGACAAACATCATGGATGAATGATAAACTCATCATTCAAGACTATAGAAGAAATAAATATGAAACTCATCATAATCATCATCATCATCATCATCATCATCATGGTTTTATGATTTTCATCTCAAATTTTTTTCCATCTTGTGATTCTCAATGGCCAGGATTAATCCTGAATATATATGGACGAATGGACGAATTTGTGCATTTATTTTTTCATTTTCAAGTATCGAGAGAACAAAACAGAAAATTGAGGATCAGAATCATTTTTGGGATTCTTTTTTTTCTGACTGTCACTTGGTCCGTAGTGTATATCGATTGGCTTTTCTTTTTTGTTCACTGCTTTTTCTCCATTGTTTTCTCTTTGACGTTTCTTTTTTTTCGATCCAAAAAATGTTTTTGATACACACACAGAGAACCTACACAAACACACAACTTGTGATGATTAATTATCCTAATCATAGAAAAAGAGATGAATGAATGAATGAATGAATGTTTTATCGATCTTGATTTTCTTTTCCATCCGGTTTTTTTTCTTCATTTCTAAAAGTGCAAAACAAAACAAAACAAAAAAAATGAAATGAAAAATTGACACTCTCCATCCTAGCCATTGTTATCTGATATTCAATTGAAGAAAAAAAAAAAGTTTTGTTTTGTTTTGTTTTGTTTTCCATACAATTCAGATTTGAGTTTCAAGAATTTTAAATTCTAAATCGATTTTTTCTCTCTCTGTCTGTGTGTGTGTCTTTTTTTTTGACAAATTAATTCCAGAATTAAAACTTTTTAAACGATATGAAAATAATAATGTTTTCTCACTTGAGAATATTCTGCTCTGTGTGTATGATGATGATGACTGAAATTTCATTTAATTTAAATTAAATTAAAAAGGCACAGCTTTTTTTTGAAGATGATTCCAAGTCTTAGTAGTAGTAGCCCTGTATTTTCAATTGAACGTACAACACACACCGTTTGTTGAATTGAATTGATTCGCAGAATAAAAAAAAACTTAACTCAGGATTCTGGTTCCAGTACATAAGTGTGTGTGTGTGTGATGAATCCATAAAATCCTTATTTATTATTCATCCTCATCATCACCATTTTTTTTTTTTTTTTTTTTTTTGAAAGAGAGTGAAAAACAGAAAGAAAGTTGGAAAGCAATTTAATTAATCGTTTTTCGTCATCATCGTCACTGCTTGTCAGCTTGGAAAAAAAAACTGTGTGTGTGTGTGTGCAAGTTTTCTTTCTTTTTTCTGTGTTTTTTATTCATTTGAATTTTTTTTCGCTTCTTCTTCTTCGTGAAACAATGGACCAGAACAAAAAAAAAAAACAATACTGGAACACAGACCAAAAGAAAAAAAAGAAAAGTCCAATTATTAAATGAGACGATGAAATCAAATCCAAATTGAATTATTATTCAATACAACAACAACAGTAAGTAAACCAGAAAAAAAACTGATAATGAAAGTTTGTGTGTGTGTGTGTGATGAGAATGGGTTGCAATTTTTTCTCTCTCCCACACACACACACACACACATCTTATAATTCTGGAACCACCATTGTTTGTTTTTGTTTTTGTTTTTTTTTATTGATTCAATGGCAATCCAAAAGAAAAAGATTGCTTTTGAAATGGAAAAAAAATCAATATTTGAGTTTGTTTGTTTTTTTTTGGATTCTTTCCTGATTCTTTTTTTTATTTCGTGAATGATTAATTAGCATTCAGCATCGCGACTAGATAGCAAAAAAAAAAAAATTATGATGGTGAATTTTTTCTTTCACATCCCGTCGTCCGTGATTCTAAACAAGAATTTTTTTTTCGTGGGTTTGTGTTTTCTTTATTTATTTTATTCTGGTTTTTGAGATTGTTTAGTATGATGATGATCAGATAAGATTTTTTTTTTGGATAATTCACGAGCTCATTTCTGTGTTGTATATGAATGGATGCTGAATCTGAAATCGGGCATATCATCATCATCATCATCTACGAAGAATCAAAATTCGTTGTCTCATCATCAATCTATATATAGTTCTGTTGTGTTTGTTTTCTCGGTCGTTGTGATTTTTTTTCCATCCGTTTGTTCATTCATTCAATACATTCAGGCGACTGACGACAACATGAAATCTACTCATACTCTGCATGTGGTGAATGAATGAATGAATGAATGGATGGATGGAAGAAAAAAATTCCTAGATATCATCACCGATGTTTGTTTGTTGTTTGCGTTGAAATAAACCCTTTTTTTTGGTTGTTACTTGCGTAATCGTTATGCATGAAATGAAAATAACACAAGGGTGTACCAAACAAAAAAAAAAAAAAAAAAAAGAATATCCATCAAATTTATTCCATGAAAACATGTAGATTCATAAATTTTTTTCCATCTGAAACCCACATACCCACACAAACACAAACACAAACACGTAGTTTCATTCAAAATAATCGACATTTTTTTCACTATAAAAATTTAAACATCTTTTAAATTTTGCTACATTATATCCAGTAAAAACCAGAATCGGGTTAATGACTTTTTTTTGCAGGGAAAATGAATAAAAAGAATCGCGTTTTATGATTATGTGTATTTAGTGTGGTTTTAAGTATATATTGCACAACAACAACAACAACAACGATCTGATCGGATAAAAACCATTCATCATCAAACGATATCTGTTTTTTTTCTGTTCTTGTTTTTATATTTCAAAACCATCACCATCATCATCAATTGATCCGAATTCGTCGTCGTCGTCGTCTTCGTTGTTGTGGAAAGCAAGAGTTTTTTTTCGGGTTTGTTGACAAATCATTATTCATCATCATCATTGAGATAGAATGGGATTTTAGTGGTATTGTTTTTGTTTTGTCAATACAAACAACAAGAAGAAAGAAAACCCAAAAAATCTCGTAAATGAATGCGATGACTAATGATGATGATAAGTTTTTGAACAAAAAAAATGAAATCAAATAAAATAAAATAAAAGCCAACAAACAAACAAACAAACACATCAATAAATAGCTCTCAAAGATATGGGCCATCATTTTTCAAAATTAACAAACCCTACAAAACAAAACTACCGAATAGTCGAATTATCGAATATAGCTCGTTGTGATGGTTTTATTGTGGTGAACACACACACACACACACACACAAACAACGCATGAAATCACTCGATCGGTCGATGTTTCTCTCTGATCATCATCGTTATAAATAATAATAATAATGGTTAATAGAGAAAATTAGAAAAACAAACAGAATCAAAAAACGAAAAACATACAGAATAACAACAAGAAGCAAGAATTGGATCCCACATTCATTTCTAAAGAACTTTTTTTCATTCATTCATTAATTCTATTATTTGGACTGATTAAAAGTAAACAAACAAACACACACACACAAACACACAGAGAGAGAGAAAGGCCAAAATATTGTAAACAAAATGAAAAAAAGGTTACGTTGTGTGTGTTATCATGATAATTTCATCATCATCATCATCATCCTGTTGAATTCAGTTTTTTTTATTGAAAGTCAGCGGCGGCAGCAGCAAAAGTTTATCCAATTAAATAATAAGCAAGGAGATGAAAAGTTTTTTTTCTCTGTTGAATGTGTGTGTGTGTGTGTGTGAACATTGTGGACAAATGTACGCACGAGATGATCCCGAATAGGGCCAGCAAAAATAAAAAAAAACCGATCTACCCAATGAAAACAAATCGATTTTCGCTTCACTTATTTTTTGTATTTTTTTTTCAATGAATTTTAAACATTTGGTTTCGATGAAAATTTTTAAATCGAATTTAATTTCAGACAAACATCAATTTAATTAGTTTTTTTTCAAACTATCGTTGTATATACGGAATAAATTAGTGTGTGAACAAAAAAAAAATTCTGTTCTCTGTTGATCGGTTGGCTGGCCGGATGATTGGATAATACCCCCGCATACATCGTGTGTAATCAATCTTCTTGACGAATTTTTTTTTCTCTCTCTCTCTCTCTCTCTCTCTCTCGACACGATTTTTGCAGAAAAAGAAAAAAATTCTGTTTGCATCACACACAGTTGTGCTATTATAACCCTTTTAATGTTTTTTTTCTGCAAGATAATGACTATTTATTTTTTTTTTTTTTTTTGGATCACCAATTCTATGGATCCATCAAGGTCATTGGATATAACATTTAATATGTATGTCATTGTATTTGCGTGTTTTTTCATTTCCTTTTTACATTCATTCAAAGGTGGCTAATCCAAATGAATAGATGGTAATACCATAAGAAAATGGTGATGATTAATTTAAAGTTTGATTGAAAAAAATTATAGCCATTGCATTCAAAACAAAACAAAACAAAAAAATTGTGATGGTGGAAAAAATCAATTATCTGTATCAATATGGTTATTATTCATTTGATTTGATTGCGAAACAAAGTGACAGAAAATGCAAAAGAGATTCATGTGATGTAGCCTTCTATGATGAAGTCTTATAAATTGATTAATTGTCACATTTATATGTATTTATTTAATTTAATATTCATCGATTTTTCAAACAGTGATTGATTGATTGACAAAAGTAACTAAGTAAATGAATGAAAAGTCAATCAATCATGATCAATATGATCATTATCATCATCGCGAGCAACAATGACAACAACAAAAAAAAAAAAAAAATTGTTAATCGGAAAACCGAAGTTCAAGCCATTATTTACCGCAACAGAGTAATTTCTCTTTCTTGATTTATATGATGATTTACCGGATATGAGAGAAACCACTATCAATTATTGAACCATAACGCGTACAACATGTGTTTTATATAAATCTATTTGAGTACTCATAAACTGATCATTCAAAATCATTCATTCATTCATTCAATTGGTAATCATTAATTAATGGATTTAATTTGAAAGGAAATGTTTATGACAAAAACAACAAGATCTCGATCAAGTACAACGACGATCGATCAATATTTTGCCCATCTATCTATCTTTGTGGTAAAAATTGTTTGTTTTGAATATAATCACACCACAGCCAGCGAATCATCAACATCAAAAAAATGGTTTTCGGATTAATGACATCACCAATTCGAATGATATTCTCATTATTGTTGATGCAAGGAATATCGCTGACAATGTTTCGTGCTTTTCTTAATCAAGCAATACAACGTGTTGATCCATTGAAATTTCAATTTAATTTGGGCAATACCAATCTGACCGGAGGTGCAGGAACAGCGACAACAACATCAGCGCCACAATTACCACTGTTACAAACACTTTTGCATCAATTTCAACTAAGCCAACAACAACACCAGCAGGTACCGACTCCTGCACCATTAGTAGATCAAAGAATCATTGATCTGGTACAATTTATACGTGCAATTCAACCACCACAAGCGTCACAATCAACGCCAACACAATCATCGCCATCCATGCTGCAATCAGCACCAACCGTACAATTGTTACCATCACCAACGATTATGTCATCACCAATTATTTCATTAAATCCAAATGGTATTCTGAGTGCTGCAAATAAATTACAAACACAAACTACAACTCCAACACCACCACCGAATGCTTTGCAAATTCCAATACCATTATCATCAACAAATTATCCTGGTGGTATAATCATGGTACTTTCATCACCACAAATTCCGGTAACATCATCACCAACATCATTTTCAGTGTCAGCATCGAATAAAATTGAAAAAATAATCCATAATCAAATCGATGATGTCGATGTTGAAGATGAGGATGAAGATGTTGAAAGTTTACGGCTATCGACAACAACAACAACAACAACATCAAAACCAATACTTGATCAAGAAATGATGAAAAAACAATGGAAAAAATCAAAGAAAAAGAAAAGAAAACGAAGTCAATGGATGAACGAGAAAAAAACATCAAAAACCGAAGAAGAAGCTGATAATATGATTGTTTTTGAAGCTGTTGGAGATTTGCCATTTGATATGGATTTAGCTGCTGCTGCTGGTGGTGATGATGAAAATTAAAAAAAAATTTAATTTTCCAGAAAAACGAAAAAATCATATGAAAGTCAAATTATTTATGTATTTAAAGTTTGTTGTTGTTGTTGTTGTTGATGTAATTTGGCCATTGAATGTTGTAGTCGTTTTCGTTGACGACGTTCATCACGTACTTTTTCACTTAGATGACTCATTTCATTGCGTATTACTCTTAGTTGATCATAGATTTCATATAAAACATCACGATCCATTGATGATCTAGTGTTTAAGGGCAAAAGAAAGAAAACACGAGTATTAAATAAATAAAAATAAAATTCTACAAAACTCGGCATAATACATACAACGATAATTTGTTAATTTTCTGTGCCAACATGGTCAATGAATTTTTTCTTGCATTTCGAGCCGATGGATTTCGATGTAAATGATGACCAAATGATGGTGATGATTTATTTATGCCAAGTATTTCCACATATTGGTAAGGTTCTAATTCTTGTTGTGGCTCACTCGATTCTGCTGCTGATGGATTGGAGTGTTTGTGGTGAATAACAACTTTACCCGATGAAGAAGATGCTGATGATGAAAGTTGTTGATGTTCACCACCACTACCACGAGAATTATTTGAAGGAAATTTGCATCGATGATATGCATCAATTACATTCAATAATTGCATATCATCATTTGTAGATTCTTGTATCAATGTTCCAGTGTCACCAGCCGTAGAGCAAATCGAGTGATTCAAATGATGAATAGGCAAATCTGTAGGTCGATATGGTGGGTTTGTTGTTAGAATCTGATTTGACCAATATCCTGTTGATCGTTTAGGTAGGGATTTCAAGACAGATTCGATACTCAACTTCGGTGCATCCAGCGGTGGTGCAGGTGGTGAACGACGATGATGTGGCAGCGGCGGTGGTATTTCATCCATTAAAGGAGGCATCATATGCTGAATCCTATATTGAGGAGGTTTAGGTGGCAATGACATTGGAACCGGCTGATCTGGTGATGTAATCGACAATGATGATGATTGTGGAGAAAATATTGCAGATGATGATTGCGAGGATGATGATAAAGATGAAGTAACTGTTGTACCGCTAGTTTGCGGCATTGATGAACTAGAAGATTCGGCCAACGGCGGATGTGTTGTTGTTGTCGTCGACGGAATTGTTTGATGGCGAATTTGTTTTTGTAATTGTTGATAATATTCACGCCATATTTCTTCATCATTAAAACGAACAACGTATTGAAGATTTTCATTGGATGAATCGGATTGTGGATGGGCATTTTGACCAGTGATTTCCAATGAAAAATCCGATCCGTTTCGGGCGTTCGTAGTAGCTGTATTAATTGGCTGTAATTTAGCATTCTCTAATTTTATCATTGCCTGTGGACAGTATGAACAAAATTTTTATTGAAAAATTTCAATAAAAAAAACATACCTCATAAGTAAAAGAAGTCATTTCTTTGCCAACCGAAAGAATCATCAAAACCTTTGGAAATAAAACTAGATAGCAATCTTTTTTTGGTTCTTTCCATAATGGCAACAATAAAATGGTGACGGGTTCCATTTTTATAATTTGTCCATAAGATTCAATATTCTATAGACAGTATTTGCAGTTAAATGGTTGTAATCGATTTTACTTTTTTCTTACCATTTTATCAAAATTTTTGATATTTCCCAACATTACTTCTAGTTCCATTTCTTTACGTCTGCGTAATTCTAAACAAGACATCTAAAGAAATCATCGATTAATATTGTATGGCAACATTAAATTTAAACATACGGATATTTCACGATAAAGAAAGCCAGCACGTTGAATATCTCCACGATCTGAATGATTTTCCTCAGTATAACGTTGAAGTTCTTGTAATAAAGCTGGATATTTATCCAATCGACGAAACGATACACTTAATAATGCAGTGATTTGTACGTTTGGCATCGATGCTAGATTGGCGGATGATGGCATGTTTGCCATCTGATGTGATGGTGAAGCCAGTGTTTGAGCTAAACTTACCGGCACTGGTTGTGGATTGGCAGCGAAAAAGGCACAGATTTCTTTTCTAAAACACAAAAAAAGATGGTCAATCAATGGATTTATTCATCAGGAACTTACTTGTATTTTTCAATCACATGAACAAATTTGGCATGATGTGAACAATAGTCAAAATGAGCATGTTTAAATTGTGGTGCATATTGCATGAATAAACCACCGATACGATTATCTTTGTGCGGAACACTATAGAAAACATACATATAGAATTTTCAATGATGATGATGATCAGATTTCATACATAACAAAAAACCAAACCAACCTTTTGGTTTTTTCAATCGATGTCAGAAATCTTCGATGAACAGAACAAATTTCCGTGATTGATCGTAATACGGCATTCAATTCAGTTTCGGTGGGTAATCTAGAAAATAGAAATAGAATTGTTCACAGTTTCAGTTATATGAAAAAAAAAATCTTGTTGATGTGTTAAAGATTTACATTTTAAACTGATAAACGGGCATTAAATAATGATTGATAGCATCTTGTAATGATTCGATGAATTGTGTTTCTGAATCTTCAATTACTTTCATTACGATTGAACGATATTCAGCCAGATGATCACCGATTAAATCACCAGTCATCATAGGTGTACCAGGATGGCTATTCCAATCACCAGAATGATATCCACTATATAATTCTGTTGATCCTGAACGTGGTTCGATGCCACCAGAATCCTGTTGCTGACCGTGTACAAGTTGTTGATATAATGGATCTTGATTGGAAATGGGTTGAACATAATTGGCTGGAAACCAACCAGTAATCCCATCCAATGTTCCTTCCCACCATCCACCGGATGGTGTTTGTGTCAATGTTATAATCTTTGAATAGAATAAAAAAACAATGAGAATGATTGCGAATAAATGTGTTCCAAAAAACAGACTTACATCATCTTTTTTCATACACAATTCATCATTGTTTGAACCACGAAAATTATGCAATACTCTGACATGAGTAAAATGATTTTTAATCTCTTCATCATTATTTAGATCGATTTTGTCCATTAGATTGTTGTTGAATTGTTCATCGATTTCATTCAACAGGCAGGGCGTCGTCTCTTTTATTCGTGGTTTATTGTGTTCGGCAACAATGTTGTTATTGTTTTCAGCTGACGATGATCCACTACCACTATTATCGATATTATTGATTTCAACACCATCTAATTTGTTGACCATTTCTCATGCAACCATGATGATGATGAATATTATTAAGATTGAAAAATCAAAAAAAAAAATCTCGAAGCCGAAATTGGGAAAAATAAACAAAAAATGAACGCCGTTCATATACAACGTATCGTTGGAATTTGATTCGAATTTCCTGCATCTTTTTTTTCTGCCATGGTATCATCACGTACGTTTTTATCATCAAATCAAATTTAATGAATTTTTATTATGATTTCCCCAAATATTAAAATCAATCAAAGATAACATTGTAATTGAAATAAAAATTTTGATTTTATTGTTTATTGATACTGATTAATTGTGTATAGTTTTTATGGATGATAATTGTACACAATGTACACAATGTACTAAAGTTTTTTTGATATAAAAAAAATTTATTGATTATAAGCCTGATCATTTACGGAACTGAACGATGATCAAACCAATCTAAAAAAATCTATAAACTAACATCGAACAAAATCCAACAAAAAATCGAATCAAAATTGCAACAAAAATGTTTGATCATCATCGTTTGGTCATCTTTTTAGTATTATCATGTGTTCTTATTTTTAAATCGACAATAGTTTCTTCTTCTGTAATTCATCATCCAAAACAATCTAATGATGAGAAATTGAAACTTGTTTTCTTGGTAAGTTGATAAGTCTTTACAATAAATGAATTCATTTTCACTTTTACTTTCACTTTTAAAGTTTCATCGTCACGGTGAACGAACACCGTATATGCTTTATCCGAATGATCCATATAAAAGAAACATTACCGAAACTGTTGGTATTGGACAATTGATCAACAAAGGTAAACAACGTCTTTATCGACTAGGTGAATATCTATCGAAACGTTATTATAACAAATGTGGTGATCGTTTTCCAATTGAACAAAAATCACCAAGAAAAGTATATGTTAGAAGTTCAGGATCAGAACGTTGTTTACAATCCGTGTCATTATTATTGGCTGGAATGTTTCCACCGGAAGGTGAATGGAAATGGAATCAAAATCTAGGAAGTTTATGGCAACCATTCGCAATACAAACAGTGCCATTTGATCATGATACACTTTTAAATCCTGATTATAAATGTCCAGTTGCCGAACATGTATTAGACCAGATTTATCATTCGGAAGAAGCACAGAATATTCAAAGAAAATATCAAAATCTATTGCACAAAGTTGCCAATTGGACTGGTTATAAACCTGAAGAAATGAATATTGTGAATGCTTCGTATATTTATGATGTTCTTTTATCTGAACATAATTTTGGTTTACCATACCCTGAATGGCTTGATAATAATATCTGGAACGATTTGAAGAATATAAATAATGAAGTATTTAGATTTAATTCTTCTAACAGAAAAATTCAAAGATTTCGTTGTGGTTAGTATCTAAAAAAACAAAAAAAAAATTCATTAAATGTGTGTGCGTTTTTTTTCAATTTCAGGATCAATGTTTGGTGAAATTTACCGACAATTGAAAGCCCATTTTGGTAATGATAGCCAATCCAATGATAATCATCATCAGATTTATATCTATTCAACTGTAAGTTGGATTTTTTTTTGTTTCTGGTTCATTTTGTTCACTGACTCGATCATTTTTTTATCATCAAAAAAGCACGATGAATGGTTGGCACAATTTTTAAGCTCAATGCAAGTCTATAATGGTATACCACCATTTTTTGGTTCAACCATAATGTTAGAAGTGTATCAAGAACCACAGAATAATGGTGAACCATATTTTAAAGGATTCTATTTGAATTCAACAGAAACTGGCCACGCATATCCATTACAATTTCCTAGCTGTAATGAACCGTGTACACTGACGAAATTTCATGAATCAATCAAAGATTTGATGATTGAAGATCCAAAAATTCTGGAACATGAATGCTATGTTGATATACAAAAATATTTGTAATTCGAAAAAAATAATAAAATTTTATAAGCCAGGCCCATATAATCAATAAATCATTTCATTGTCGTAGTAGTAGTGGGAGTCATTGACGATGCTTGTTTTGTTGTGGTTGTCGTTTCAGTCTTTGAAAAACTTGTCTTTGATGTTTTTGTCTTTGATTTTGAATTTCTAACACCTTTCTTACCACTTTTGCCATCATTATTAATTGATGTTCGTGAAGCAGCATTATTATTATCTTCATCATCTAATTTTGCCATTGCTTTTTCTACGGTAGCACGTAATTGTTTTTCAATTTGTTCACGTTTTCTCATCGACCATGGTTCATAACGCATTCGTGCCATTAAATAAATCATTGATAATATATAGCACAGTAGAAACATTCCAATAGTATTGCCAATTAAATTTGCTTGAAATACTAATTGATCATCCAATTGGCCATCTTCTATTGATGTTGTTGTTGCCATTGTTGTTGTTGAAGTTTGATTCTGTTTTTGATCATCATCAGCAGCAAAAATTGTTGTCTTTGGTTTATTCATTGATCTTACAATAAGATTCTGTGAAATTCCCAACAAACATGTAGCACCGGCCATAAGTAATGTTGCAATGCCAATCATTCGTAAATGGCGAATCATTCGTACACGACGACGATCATCATTTACATTGGAAACATAAACATTAAATCCATAAACAAGATAGGTGAGTAAAAAAATCCATGTCATTAAACCTAACCATGAATGTAGTGAATCAAAATGTTGATAATTTTCATTCATATGCCAATAGATTGTTATGAGCAAACCAATTGATCCAACAATAATGATGACTAACGATATCAAAATACGTGCAAATCGTAATGATTGTGATGATGTTAGAAATAGCAATGCTACAAAACAAAAACAGTGAACAAAACAAGAATGAAAAGAGAATGTGAAAATTCAATTCAACTTACAATTCGCTAGCACATAAACCAATCCAAAAACCATAAATATTGGATGAAGATTGAGAAATTGGTCCCAATTACTACCACCACTACTACTATTGTCTTCATTACTGGTTTGGAAAGATAATCCACCAAAATTTTCAATAAACCATATTACCATCAAAATCAATGTAACCAATGCCAACATTTGTAGAATAAAATACAGTCCACAATTCATTTGGCTTTTTGAATCTTTTTTCAATTCATTTTCATTTAATTTTGCTGATATTTTTATCTTTTCTTTTGGATCACCACTTCGACTTGTAGTACGTTCAACTTTTACTTTTGTATCTGAAGCTGTTGTCGTCGGTGTGGTCGTCGGCGATGGCGGTATCGTTGTCGATGTGGATTGTTGCTGTTGCATAGTTGGCTATTGGACAAATCAAAAATTGTTTTTGGCTCAAAAAAAAATAACCAGAATTTCGATAAAAAATAAAAAATAAAATAAAAATTCAAGTTTTGCATTGGATTTTATTTCGTGAATTATAATTAAATTATAATTCAATTTTTTTGTCGTCGTTCGAATTTTAGAGCAATATCTTTCGGTACAAGCATACCAGCCTGATAATTGAAATCTAATGGATCTTTTGTTCGAATAGGACATTTTGTCATATGAAAATTTTTGATTAACCAAATCAATGCCATTTTAGCTTCTAATAAAGCTAAACTTTTGGCAACACAAACACGTGGACCAGAACCAAATGGTAGATAGGCATAATTGGGAAAATTGTCGGCAGTTTTTTTACAAAATCTTTCCGGTCTAAATTGTTCTGGTTGTGGAAAATATTCATCATTATAATGTAATGCATAAACCGGTATTTGAACAATTTCATCTTTTTTCACTGGTACATTGTAACGGCCATCTTCAGTGGTGAGAACACAATCATGTTCACAAAGTCTTTCTATGATCACTTGTACAGGCGTCATTCGCAGACTTTCATCAATTACAGCACAAATATATTCAAATTCTGATCCTAATGATTCGAATGGTATCGATTCCAGGACATTGTCGTATCGTGATGCTACACGACATACTTCTTCATATGCTAATTTTTCTTTATCCGGATTCAACGCTAATCGATAACAAGCCAACATAATCATTATTGTTGTAGGATGAAAACCACCAAAAAAGAACAGAATACATTGGGCAATCATTTCATCTTCTGAAATATATTTGATTGGTTTACCATTATCATTGTTTGGTTCTGAATTTTGCATTTGTTTTCGTTGAATAGCTGCATATTCGTTTTCAGCTTCCAAAAGAAATTCAATAAAATTCGATGCTTTACTAAAACCTTTTTCCTGTTCATATTGTTTTCGTTTTTGTACAATGATTTCACGTGCATATTTTTCAAAAAAATCTACTTGAGCTGCATTTGGTCGAAGATTTCGAAAAATTTTTTGCAGCCGTGGACTGTATAAAATGATCATGAAAGCGATAATATCTTTGAGTTTCATATCTTGATTGAATAATTTTACCACCGTTTTCACTAATTCATTATTCGGTTCCACCAATGAATTGATTTTAACACCAAATGCCACTTGTAGAATGGTATCCATTGTGAAACAACCGATAAAGTGTCTTATATTGAAAACTGAACATTTTGTTTCCTCTTGATGATTATCAATATTAAGTATTAATGTTTGACAAATTGAATCAATTAATGGTTTCATACGACGAAGTTTTCCTGTAGCAAATGTTGGTGCCACGATTGCTCGTAAACGTTTCCAACGATCTAATGGGACCATTGCCAATCCATTTCGAAAAAATAAATCATCCAATTCAAATTTCTATTTGTAACAAAAAATCAATCTGAGCACTTTGCAATCACTTTGTCAACTTACTCGTCGATTTGGAAAATTTGTAAATTCTTTACTCAACACTAATTGAATAAGTTCAGGATCACCAATAACGAATTGTATACCACCCAAAAGATCAACAGCATAAACAGGACCAACCTTACGCAATGTTTGTTGTTGAATTAATTCAAAACGTTGTTTAGTTATGATACCCAACAATAACATTTGTAGACGAACATATGGAACATTTCTTTCATTGATAATTTCATTCTTTAATCGTAATGAACGACGTTCCAAATAGATGTATATCGATACGATCGATATTACCGATATGGTTATCATGAAAATGATAAACATTTTTTTGACAATTACTTGATCAATAAATAAATCTACCGCGAATGAATACAAGTGAATTTTGCAATTTAGTTAAATAAAAAAATGATTTAGTTAACAACAGCAAAAAAAAAAATCTCAAGGACATTTCGATGATTAGAAGCATCACCATCACATGATTAGGCGCTGTTAATTACATATATTTCATTGTTTGATTGATAAAGACATCATTTGATGGTGAATTAAGCAAATATAATACGTTTTGATGATGTTCACAATGATATAAATAGGATAAATATTGTGATATTCATGTAATTATTCAAATAATTTGATCATTAAATTTACTTGAATTAATGAAAATGTCAATTTCTCTTTTTTCTCTGTCTTTAGACTACGTTTCTTATGTAATAGGCATCGTGGTTATCATCCCGTTACTGATTTGGGCTATTGTCGAATTGAATGAATATCGAACTAAACAACAATGTAAACGACAAAATCTTCCATACGCTAGGGTTCCCGCATGGAATTTCGTTGCATTATTTGGCAAACGTTTTGATATGGTTATAAGCGATACAATACGTAAACATGGTAAAGTTTTTGGTTTCAACATGTGGAATCATTTAAACATATCGATCGCTGATCCCGAGTTGGCACAAATTGTATGTAATCGTGAATTTACTAAATTTGCTAATCATCATGTAAGTTATTGGTTGAATGAATAGCATAATTCTCACCTGATTTTAAAAAACCACACACACATAAACAGAATATGGCTGTTAGCGATCCAGTATGGGATAATTTCCTATTTGTTCTTAAAGATGAAGATTGGAAACGTTTACGTGCAATAATTTCACCTACATTTAGTACGGGTAAATTACGTAAAATGAAACCATGTCTTGATGATACTATCAAATTGATGGCTAAAAATTTGGATGAAAAAATTTTGAAAAATCCTGCCGTTAATATGAAAGAAATCGTTGGTGCATACACAATGGATAGTATTATACAGATTTCTATGGGAATCAAAATTGACACGATACATGATCCAAATAATTTAATCATTCAGAATGCATCAAAACTATTTGGTCAAGGAATGTCATTCACCGAGTTGACGATATTTGCATTGGCAACGGCATTTCCTAATTTTGTCAAATTGTTGGGATTCAAATTTCAAGCAGAAGCGATGAAATTTTTAGCAAACATTTCAAGAGAAATAATTCAAAAGAAACGCGAAGAAATGAAAATCCGATCAAAATCACAAAAAGCAAGTAATTTTATCGAATTGATTCTTGAAGTTGAACAAGAACAGAAACAAGTTTTGGAACAAAGTGGTAAACCATTCAAATGTAAGTGATTGTTGTTGTTGTTTGATACAATAAATCCATTCTAAACTCAATACTTTATTTAGATGTCAATAACGATGAGCTTATTGCTCAATGTATTACATTTTTCACTGCTGGTTACGATACTACATCATCTGCAATATTGTTTGCCATTTATTTGTTGGCTTCTAATCCTGATAAACAAGAAAAACTTCACCAAAGCATAATCGATACGATTGAAAAATTAGCCAAACAAAGAGATGGTGACTGCGATGATCCTTATGAATTGATTACTTTTGATTCATTGAATAATTTTGAATATTTGAATGCTGTCCTGAATGAATCAATGCGATCACTAACATTGGTATTCGTTATTGATCGAGTAGCTGTAGAAGATGTACGTCTGGAAACTAGTGATAAAAAAATCTGGTTCGATGTTCGAAAAGGTGACATCATTCGTATACCGCCGATTGATCTACATAATGATCCGGAAAATTTTTGTGATCCAGAAAAATTTATACCAGAACGTTTTCTTGCTGAAAACACTGCAAAACCATTCAATAAAATGGCATTCATGCCATTTGGAAGTGGACCACGTAAATGTGTGGCAACAAGTTTAGCTTTATTAGAAGCTAAAATGGCATTGCTTCATCTATTTCGAATGTATAGATTCAGTTTGGATCCAAAAACCAAGCTAGACTATAATGTTATTTTAGATTCTTTGATACCCAAAGATATTATTTTGCGTGTAGATAAACGTTGATATTTTATGATTGATGAAAGCGGTTTATTTGTTTGCAAATATAAAGACGGTTTGAAAAAAAAATTTATCAAGATCAAATTTATCAATGGAAATAACGATTGATTGATTGATTTCAATTTCGAATCAGTCTTTATTATAGTCATCGTTTAACTTTTAGAAATATATCATGTATTTAATCAACAAAACGTCACATTTTCAATAAATGTCCAAGGACACACATGCACATGTTGATTTAAGAAAATTGATTTGATTTGATTCAATTTATTTTGATACGAGCATAAATCCAGTATCACTGACGACAATCGAACCAGTCATATTACGGGCATCATCCGACGCAAGAAAAGAAGCTAAATTAGCAATTTCAACAGGTTGTGGTAGGAATTTCAATAACGTTAAATTTTGTCTTAAATGAGGTTCATGTTCTGCATTAGCTTCCTTTGTCATTCCAAATGAACGATAAAGATGTGTGACAACAGGTCCTGGGCTAAATTGGTACACAAAAAAAACAGAATATCATTCTATAATGAAAATCAAATCAAAATATTGAGTACATACTTGATCGAATTGAATTTCAACAAATATGTTCGATTTCGTCATGAAGTATTGGCATTAGAATTAGCCGATGATTATGAACAAACTGGTCGTTGGAAACTTCGTGCACGTAATCTTGATACAATGGAAATATTTGAAGATATCTATGATGGCGTAATGGTTTGTACCGGTCATCATGGTACCATATCGATGCCCATGTTTCCCGGCCAAGAACAATTTAAAGGTCGTATTATTCATACACATTCATTGAAACATTCGAAAGGATTTGATGATGAAAATGTTGTCGTCGTTGGAATCGGTAATTCAGGTGGTGACGCTGCCGTTGAATTATCATATGTAGCCAAACAGGTAAGTTGTTTTCCTGTTTTTTTTGCTAATGAGAGAGTAAACCAAAATAAATGTTGGTTGAGAAAAAATTTATGATGAATAAAATCAGATGAAAGATAGATTTGTCGTATGATTGTATAGATGATTTAAGTGATTCATTATCAAAGTTTAAATGATGAAAAAAAAATTTTTTTTTGTCCAAAAATCAATCACCAATCATATTTTTTATCGCACGTTTCTGTGTTTGAGAAAATAAAATCGTCAAGAAAAAAATTCTCACTATTTTTACTATTTTAGCTTACGTTTAGTCCTTAGACATGTACTTTCTTTTGTACAATTGTCACATTTGTTAACGGATTTATTCGTACCAAATAACGATGTTGATGTTGATTTTGATGACGGTGATTTAATCTTTAATCATAATAATTTAATCATTCTTTAATCGTAATGAACGACGTTCCAAATAGATGTATATCGATACGATCGATATTACCGATATGGTTATCATGAAAATGATAAACATTTTTTTGACAATTACTTGATCAATAAATAAATCTACCGCGAATGAATACAAGTGAATTTTGCAATTTAGTTAAATAAAAAAATGATTTAGTTAACAACAGCAAAAAAAAATCTCAAGGACATTTAGATGATTAGAAGCATCACCATCACATGATTAGGCGCTGTTAATTACATATATTTCATTGTTTGATTGATAAAGGCATCATTTGATGGTGAATTAAGCAAATATAATATGTTTTGATGATGTTCACGATGATATAAATAGGATAAATATTGTGATATTCATGTAATTATTTAAATAATTTGATCATTAAATTTACTTGAATTAATGAAAATGTCAATTTCTCTTTTTTCTCTGTCTTTAGACTACGTTTCCTATGTAATAGGCATCGTGGTTATCATTCCGTTACTGATTTGGGCTATTGTCGAATTGAATGAATTTCGAACTAAACAACAATGTAAACGACAAAATCTTCCATACGCTAGGGTTCCAGCATGGAATTTCGTTGCATTATTTGGCAAACGTTTTGATATGGTTATAAGCGATACAATACGTAAACATGGTAAAGTTTTTGGTTTCAACATGTGGAATCATTTAAACATATCGATCGCTGATCCCGAGTTGGCACAAATTGTATGTAATCGTGAATTTACTAAATTTGCCAATCATCATGTAAGTTATTGATTGAATGAATAGCTTAATTCTCATCTGATTTTAAAAAACCACAAACACACACAAACAGAATATGGCTGTTAGCGATCCAGTATGGGATAATTTCCTATTTGTTCTTAAAGATGAAGATTGGAAACGTTTGCGTGCAATAATTTCACCTACATTTAGTACGGGAAAATTACGTCAAGTGAAACCATGTCTTGATGATGCTATCAAATTAATGGCTAAAAATTTGGATGAAAAAATCTCAAAAAATCCTGTCTTTAATATGAAAGAAATCATTGGTGCATTTACAATGGATAGTATTATACAGATTTCTATGGGAATCAAAATTGATTCGATACATGATCCAAATAATTTAATCATTCAGAATGCATCAAAACTATTTGGTCAAGGAATGTCATTCACCGAGTTGACGATATTTGCATTGGCGACGGCATTTCCAAATTTTGTCAAATTGTTGGGATTTAGATTTCAACCAGAAGCGATGAAATTTTTAGCAAACATTTCAAAAGAAATGATTGAAAAGAAACGCGAAGAAATAAAAATCCGATCGAAACCACAAAAAGCAAGTAATTTTATCGAATTGATTCTTGAAGTTGAACAAGAACAGAAACAAGTTTTGGAACAAAGTGGTAAACCATTCAAATGTAAGTGATTCTTGTTGTTTGGCACAATAAATTCATTCTAGTCAATACTTCATTTCCATCAATTAGATGTCAATAACGATGAGCTTATTGCTCAATGTATTACATTTTTCACTGCTGGTTACGATACTACATCATCTATAATATTGATTGCCATTTATTTGTTGGCTTCTAATCCTGATAAACAAGAAAAACTTCACCAAAGCATAATCGATACGATTGAAAAATTAGCCAAACAAAGAGATGGTGACTGCGATGATCCTTATGAATTGATTACATTTGATTCATTGAATAATTTTGAATATTTGAATGCTGTCCTGAATGAATCAATGCGATCACTAACATCGGTGTTCGTTATTGATCGAGTAGCCACAGAAGATGTACGTCTAGAAACTAGTGATAAAAAAATCTGGTTCGATGTTCGAAAAGGTGACATCATTCGTATACCACCGATTGATCTGCATAATGATCCGGAAAATTTTCATGATCCTGAAAAATTTATACCAGAGCGTTTTCTTGCTGAAAACGCCACAAAACCCTTCAATAAAATGGCATTCATGCCATTTGGAAGTGGACCACGTAAATGTGTGGCAGCAAGTTTAGCTTTATTAGAGGCTAAAATGGCATTGGTTCATCTATTTCGAATGTATAGATACAGTTTGGATCCGAAAACCAAGCTAGACTATTATGTTATTATCGATTCCTTGATACCCAAAGATATTATTTTGCGTGTAGATAAACGTTGATATTTTATGATTGATAAAAACGGTTTATTTGTTTGCAAATATAAAGACGGTTTTTGCGATTTGAAAAAGAATTTATCAAGATTAAATTTATTAATGGAAACAACAATTGATTGATTTCGATAAATCAATCAATCGTTATTATCACCGTCGTTCGACTTTTAGAAATATATCACGTAAAGAAAGAAAACCGCTTTGATTATAAAACTCGACAGGAATCTTGTTAAGCGAATGAGAAAAAAATACGATAAGATTACATTCAACATCAATCAATATAATCAATTATCGATCATGATACTTACTTTGGTTTTATCACATTTGTTGAATTGAAAATTTTTAATCAACCAAATTAATGCTAATTTAGCTTCTAATAGTGCTAAACTTTTAGCTACACATGCCCGTGGTCCAGATCCAAATGGTAAATATGCATATTTTGGAAATTTTTGACCATTTTTCGGACAAAATCTTTCTGGATGGAACAAAGTTTTCAGGTTCCGGGAAATATTCATTAATTTTGGATCGATAATAAAAATATACAGAAGTCAAAATGATGAAAGTCAATAAAAATGTAGCCAACATCATGATGATGTCGAGCATTGAAAATGAAAAACAAATGAAATGAACCACTAACCAACCAAATCAATCAATTGATATTTTAACCATCAATTGATCCTATTCATTTATTTAATCAACAAATTGTCACATTTTCAATGAATGTTCAAGGACACACATGCACATGTTGATTTAAGAAAATCGATTTTATTCAATTTATTTTGATACGAGCATAAATCCCGTATCGCTAACAACAATCGAACCAGTCATATTACGTGCATCATCCGACGCAAGAAAAGAAGCTAAATTAGCAATTTCAACAGGTTGTGGTAGGAATTTCAATAACGTTAAGTTTTGTCTTAAATGAGGTTCATGTTCTGCATTAGCTTCCTTTGTCATTCCAAATGAACGATAAAGATGTGTGACAACAGGTCCTGGGCTAAATTGGTACACAAAAAACAGAATATCATTCTATAATGAAAATCAAATTAAAATATTGAGTACATACTTGATCGAATTGACTCGAATTCCTTTGGGCGCCAATTCTTGTGCCAATGATTTTGTTACCATATCCAATGCTGCTTTCGATGAACTATAAATCAATCCATACTATTATTAGAATAAACATTGTCAAACATTGTCATTCATCAGAGATCAATAAAAAATGATTACCGGAACCATAGAAGAAGCACTTGAAATGTTGATTATATTACCTTTGGTTTTTTCCAAATGTGGTACAGCTAATTGTGTCAACTGGATAATAGCACGAACATTTACTGCATAAACTTCATCATAACCTTCTAGCAGTTTTTCATCACTGAGATCACGATGTGGTGTAGAACCACCAGCACTATTGACAAGAAAATCTAATCGTCCAAATTTCGAAATAGTTTCATCAATCAATTTCGATGGTAATGATTGATCCAAAAGATTGCCAACAATTTGTAATGGTTTATTGCCAGTTTCATCTTCAATTTGTTTAGCAACCGATTCCAGTGCATCAGCGTCACGACCAGTAATTGTTACTTGGGCACCAAATTGTGCCATTTGTAATGCTATTGCCGCACCGATTCCAGAACTAGAGCCTGTAACGATAGCAACTTTACCGCTGAAATTGTATTTTTTTCCACTTGTTGTTGCTGTTGAAGACATGTTTCGTTCTGTTTTGTTTGATGATTGATGACTTGTCAAATTGTCGTTTGTTTTTCTTAGATAGCCTATAGAATATCATTCATCTATTTATATATCACTGTAAATCATCATCATCATTCGCATCAATCATTATCAATGGAAACTATTTTTGAAACTCAAAACAAACTGCAGTTGTTGTTGTTGTTGTTTTATCATATGACCATCACATTGCATTTTTTGCATTCATGCTCATTATATGCCTACCATCCATACATTTGTGTGCAATTTGTTAGATATAAAAATGTTCTGTCGATAAATTATGAATTGAAAATATTTTTTTACTTTTTTGCAAGTACTGATAAATAGACGAAAAAATTCAAAAAAAAGACACCAAATTCTGTTTCATTATAAAATCGATTTATTTTTTTCTGTTTTGAATTGTGATATATAATCATGATGATAATCAAGAGAAAAAAATTAATATGGTTTCATCAATAAAGATCCACCATCTGTAACAATAATCGATCCGGTAATATTTCGTGCATCATCCGAAGCTAAAAACATGGCCAGTTTAGCAATTTCTATTGGTTGTGGTACAAATTTCAATATTGTACGTTCTTTAATTTGATCTTCAAGATCGGCCAAAATCGTTTCAGGCATACCCACGGATCGACCATAGCGTGTAGTTACAGATCCTGGACTAGATATGAGAAACAAAAAAAAACAAAGATTCAAATAAATCAAATTATTACAACATACAAACATATAAATACCTAATCGAATTGACTCGAATGCCTTTCTCGCCAAGTTCTTGTGCCGATGTTTTTGTTATCATATCGATGGCTGCTTTCGATGAACTATACAAAATGGAATGCTTGAGAAAATTTACATACAGAATTAATAAAAGACAGTGAAAGAAATTCATTCGATTTTTCTTTTAAAACTTACCGGTCTCAATGCTGCTACACTTGAAATATTGATTATATTACCATTAGTTATTTCCAGATAAGGTGCAGCCAATTGTGTCAGATGAATCACTGCACGAACATTTAGGCCATAAACTTGATCAAATCCATGCATTAGATTTTCATTGTATAAACTATCATATGGTGAACCACCACCAGCATTGTTTATGAGAAAATCTAATCGTCCAAATTTCGAAATTGTTTCATCAATCAATCGGCGTGGTAATGATTGATCAAGAAGATCGCCAACAATTTTTAATGGCTCATTACCAGTTTCATCTTTAATTTGTTTGGCCACTTTTTCTAATGTACACGATTCACGACCTGTGATTGTCACACGAGCACCAAATCTAGCAAATTGTAATGCAATACTTTCACCAATACCAGAATTAGATCCAGTAATCAATGCAACTTTGCCAGTAAAATTATATTTTCGATTATCTGATAAAGACATGATGACGTTGATGATTATGATGATGCTGATGATATGGCACGTGGTATCAGATGTGATCAAAAATTCTTGAAAAATTTTGACAATAAAAAAATTTTCCCAGAAAAATCTTGTCTTGATTTGTTCAATTACAAATGCAAAGTTAAAAACTAGTTTTCAGATTTTTCGGCCTTCAAGGACAAACACTATCGATTCGAAGCGAAAATGAAGCATTAAAAAGTAAATAATTTATGGTTTTTTTTCAGTGTATTTATTATTTTTATTATTATTTTCTTTTCAAATTTTTCTAATAACAAATTTGTTGTCGTGTATCAATGACGGCGCCACCACCACCACGAAACCAACGTGTTTGTATTAAATCAGTAATTTTGATACGATTATTATTATCTGGATCAAGCATTGCACGAATCAATTGTTTAAGATCATCGGATATATTGCGTTCATAACGTGTACGAAATTTCCAATCACGATTTAGCTGTTTTTGTAACATTTCTTGATAATCAACAAACATAAATGGCAATGTATCGTTGGTCATAATGAATAAACAAACACCAAGGCTCCAAATATCATATGCTAATGGATTGTATGGTATTCTTGGATGAAAAAGAATGAGTAATTCAATTGAATCAATTGACATTGGAATTTGAATATTTACCCTTGTAAAATTTCTGGTGAAAAATATGGTGGTGTGCCACACCAATCCGTCACTAAACGTCTACCATCCCATATGACTGATAGGCTAAAATCGGAAATTTTTGGCTGTCCATATTTATTGATCAAGATATTCTCTAATTTTAAATCACGATGTGCTATGAATTTTTGATGCATATAATCAACACCAAAAAATACTCCTTTAAATAGTCGTCGAGCACGATCATCGGATATGGGTCCATTTTTTTTAAGCAAATCAGCAAACGTTCCAGCATCTACCAGTTCCATAACCATTATATAAGCTAAACTTGTATTGAATGCTTCATAAAAATGGACAATATTTTCATGTGATAATTCCCGTATAACATAGATTTCATTACGAAGACAAACATCTTTATAATGTCGAGAACATTTATCCAATTCAATCAATTTTATGGCAACATCACATGATTGCCGAAGATCTTTTGCTCGAAATACATGTGCATACGAACCGGAACCAATAATGTTTCTTAACCGATATCCTTTGTCTAGTAATTCTCTTTGATGATCATTACGTAATTGATTACTTTTACGATATTCTAATGCCTGGTCAATTTCTTGTTGTATACCTTGTTTTGGGTCCAATTTTGATATTTTTATATCGCGATTATTTGTACGAAAATAACGTAAACGTGTTGTTTCAGATTCAATTGCACGTGTTTTATTTGAATGTTCAACATCTTTTGACATCATTATTTGATTGATTGATTGATTGTCAAGCGAATTATTTTTTATTTTATTTTATTTTTTTTCACAAACACAATTTGAATATTTGAGCATAATCATCAAATTAAATATTTGAAATTTCGATTGTTTAATTAATGAAATTATTTAGTTATTGATTCAATAATTGGAAAAATTCATTTTCCATAACTTTATTCCACATTTCATAACCTTTTTCTGTTAGATGAAGATGATCTTCTATGTAAAGTTCATCCACAACTTTACCACGGCTATGTTCAAAACTATTGGTTACATCTAGATAAAAAACGTGTGAATTATCATGATAATTTTGGATAATTCGATTAATAGCGGCTACATTTTTGTCCATAATATCACCACCACGTGGAAAAACACTCAACAGTAATATTTTTGATCGATTCATTTTTGTTTGTAATTCATTCAGAATTACTTTGATACCTTTAGCAATATCTGTGGCTGTATTACAATGAATATTATTCGTACCAATCATCAATACAATAACTGATGGTTGAATATTGTCAAATTCACCATTCTCGATACGCCATAAAACATGTTCAGTACGATCACCACCAATACCATAATTGAATGCATTACATGTCTTGTAGAATTGTTCCCAAACTTTATGGCCATTATAAAGCCATCCTTCAGTGATGGAATCACCGAGGAATATGGCACGAATTTTTGGACCATATTCATGAGTTTGATTCAATAGACGTTCATGTTTTTTTTCAGTACCTTTATGTTTTTCAGCTTTCCATGGAATACCGCATTGAACCACATCGGCAGCAACGATGATGATGATGATATTAATGGCCAGAATAAACATTCGGTTTTCTGTCGTTGGATACATTTTTTTTCGATTTGTATATGACAATGTAATTTTATATTTTTTTACGTGTCACGTCTAATTTTTTTTTTCATTTTCGATTTTCAAGAGTTTTGTTTATCCACTTGTCATGTAAAGTGTGTTTGTGTTGTCATGGATTAATGTTGATAAATTGATTGATTGATCCTCTTTCGTTTTCATGATTGATAATTTTTTTTTCTAAGGAAATTAAATAATTTGCTTGTTGTTCACCTGCTGTTATTCACAAATGATGAAAATTTCAATTTTCCAAGACAGAAAATTATCTTAAATTTCACCAAAATTTTTGCCAACAACCACTATGAATCCATTAATAATTCCATTATTATTAATCATGATTATCATCTTGTTAGTCAGTGTTGTATTAATGTTAACCAATCGATTTGATTTTATTTATCAATGATGATGAACAATGATGGTGCTTTACATTTTTGTTATCATCAAAAAAAAAAAAAAAAATTTCACAACATTGTGCAACAAAAAAAGACATTCTGAAAATAAAATAGGCCATCAGGTTAAACTTTGAACAATGACAACAACAACAACAAAAAAAAAAGAAAGAAAGAAAACTTTACTTTTTTTCTCCACTTCTGTTGTGTCCGGTTTGCCCACAACTGCGAACAAAAATAGCAGCAAAACCTGGTAAGGCAAAAGAAAGAGATGATGAACATTTTTTTTCATCTGAACGAAAAAAAAACTTGTTCAACAACGTTTGTTTGTGCTGTGAAAAATGATTGAACACTATCTGAAATTATAAGAGAATAGATAAAATAGAAAATCTTAAAATAGCATCGTACGCAAATAGGAATTTTGATTGAAAACTTTCTTCTTCTTTTTTTTTTCGTTGTTGTTGACCGATTGCTTGGATGAAAATGGTCATTTGAAATTTGGGAAAAATCCCCAAATTCTAAAGAATTTTAAATCTGATAATTCATCGGACATTTCCTTTTTTAGATAAAAAAAATTTATTAACTTTTGGGTTTTTTTCCAATTAACTAGTCTATTCCTTTGTATGAATGTGTAATCGACAATTTTTTTTTTTTTGCTTGTCCATCAATATTGATGATTATTCGATCGGTATGCAATCATCAATCAGACAATTGTTAATTGTGAACATGGCAATCATCATCATAACACACAAAAAAAAAGAAAAGAAAATCCAGTACTGAAAACTGTATGTGAATGGCGGAACAACTTCTATTTTTTTCGTCGAATAAAAAAACCTTTTTCTCTTTTTTTTTCTAACCCGAAAACAATAGAAAAATCCATCTATTGTCCATTACCATGTCTCACTCTCTTTCATTTTTCCACCATCTCCGGGTTTGTTCAAAAAACTTTGAAAAAGTATTCAAATCATCATCATCATCACATTGACATCATCGTCATCAGAGAATGTTGACGACAACAACAACAACAACCAAAAAACTACATGAATAATTGATTAGCAATAAGAAATTTATTTGAAAAAAAAATTATTCATCAAACTTATTGAACCGCTTGCTATTTTTTCGTTCAAATCAAATTATATGGTGTGGTATAGGAGAAAAAAATTTTTTTTTGCCTCCAAAAAAATGTTTTTTCTGCAATGATTAATGTTGTTGTTGTTGTTGCTGGTTATTGGTTATCGATTAAAAAACACTAATAGTTCATTGTGTTTTTTTTTTCGTCACAAGTTTAGATGCTTGCCATATGCTTAAATTAATTTTCTCTTTCAAAATCATCATCATCATTTTTTTTTTATTTAAAACATCCGACTTTTTAAGCTCAATGATTATATGTTGATTTTTTCTTGTAATAATAAAATTATTTATTCTCATCATCAAATTGAATCTTGTGATTGTGTGTGTTTAAAATTTTTTTTTAACAGAAAAAAATGTCTGGTAAACGAATTGCCATCATTGGAGCCGGAGCAACCGGTATGACATCGGTGAAAGCGTGTTTGGAACAAGAATTACAACCAATTGTTTTTGAAAAAACCAATTATACCGGTGGTTTATGGCGTTATAAAGAAAATGTTGATGAAAATGGTATTGCATCGGTAATGAAATCAACAATTATTAATTCAAGTAAAGAAATGTCAGCATTTTCCGATTTTCCACCGCCAGATGATTATCCGAATTATATGCATAATACAAAAATGGTAAGTTTTTTTTTCATTTCAAAACAATTTGAATCCCTTATTAACAAATAGCGAATCAACAGGTTGCTTATTTTGATTTGTATGCGGAAAAATTCAATTTCAACAAATATGTTCGATTTCGTCATGAAGTATTGGCATTAGAATTAGCCGATGATTATGAACAAACTGGTCGTTGGAAACTTCGTGCACGTAATCTTGATACAATGGAAATATTTGAAGATATCTATGATGGCGTAATGGTTTGTACCGGTCATCATGGTACCATATCGATGCCCATGTTTCCCGGCCAAGAACAATTTAAAGGTCGTATTATTCATACACATTCATTGAAACATTCGAAAGGATTTGATGATGAAAATGTTGTCGTCGTTGGAATCGGTAATTCAGGTGGTGACGCTGCCGTTGAATTATCATATGTAGCCAAACAGGTAAGTTGTTTTCCTGTTTTTTTTGCTAATGAGAGAGTAAACCAAAATAAATGTTGGTTGAGAAAAAATTTATGATGAATAAAATCAGATGAAAGATAGATTTGTCGTATGATTGTATAGATGATTTAAGTGATTCATTATCAAAGTTTAAATGATGAAAAAAAAATTTTTTTTTGTCCAAAAATCAATCACCAATCATATTTTTTATCGCACGTTTCTGTGTTTGAGAAAATAAAATCGTCAAGAAAAAATTCTCACTATTTTTACTATTTTAGCTTACGTTTAGTCCTTAGACATGTACTTTCTTTTGTACAATTGTCACATTTGTTAACGGATTTATTCGTACCAAATAACGATGTTGATGTTGATTTTGATGACGGTGATTTACTCGTCGATCCTATTCGATTACCAAATTTATCGCCACCAAAACGACCGGCTGATAGATCATTATCATAGCCGGATGATCGATTATATGATTCATATTTAGTCATTTTGTAAGTGTGTTCACCAGGAAATGAGCTAAAAAACAAAATATTGAAAAAAACAATTTAGTATTATTTAGAGCATGATTTTGCCGTATTTTCAATTAAAAATCTGTCGATTTGTTGTAACCAATTTGTTCGAACGCCAAAAAGAAACTACATACCTGAATTTTCCTTGAACAATTGAACAGATAATTATTATGATGATTATGAATGTGATCCAAATATATTTGAAAGTAAACACTTCAAAAAAAGGTAAATTCAAGTTTTGTGATGATGATAATGATCAACAAAAGTTAATGAAGATGTTGTAGATAGACAGATGATGATGTTGAGCAAACACAATTTTTTTTTTAATTTAAGTTTCTCATATTTCGTAATATACCTTGGTATACGATAAAAAAAAAGATGTGAAAATTGTTAATTTTGAACAACAACAAAAACAAACACATAAAGCAGCCACACACACACACACAGACAAAATATTCGTACATTCACAATATACATGCATGCTTCGAAGAAAAAACAAAAACGTTCGACAAGTCACGTAGGCCATGGCTCTTTTTTTTATGGTGCGCTTTGCGCTCTTTTATTGTTTGTTCATTCGTTCATCATCATCATTTCATTTATATTTAGCGATTTTTTTTCAAGTCAATGTGCTACTCACCATTGATATATACTCTGGTCCTGTTTAACAAAAAAAATGGGCCAGATTCGCGCCAAATTTAATAAATTTAAAATGTTCATCTTAGCCTCGCGAATACAAGATGTCGCTTTGTGGTTTTTTTTTAAATTATATTGTTTCCTTTTTTTATCGATAAAATAGGTCTATCTTTCTACACGTACCGGATCATGGATATTTAATCGTGTTGGTCCGAATGGACAACCATTTGATCAGCTAATGCATCGTCGAATTGTCAATGAATTTTTTCGACGTATACCATATTCACTTACATGTTCAGTACTGGAACTGCAGCTTAATTCTACTTTTAATCATGAAGATTATCAATTGAAACCTAAACATCGTGTTCTTTCACAACATATTATGGTCAATGATACTTTACCTAATCGAATTTTGTCTGGAACGGTTAAAGTAAAAAGCGATATCGATCATTTTACTGAAAATGGTGTCGTATTCAAAGGTATGATTTCTGATGATATTGATAATGAATTCGAATTCTATATAATTGTGGTACAATAGGTGAAAACAAAGGAACACCTTGCGATACTGTGATCATGGCGACTGGATATAAAGTTCATTTTCCATTTATATCGGAAACATTGATTCCTGTTTATAAAAACCAAGTACGTCTCTATAAATATCAATTTGCTCCACATTTGAAACATCCACATACATTGACATTTATATCGTTGGCACAACCGATCGGAGCATTGTTACCGATTGGAGAACTACAAGCACGATGGTTTTCATTATTAATGGCCGGTAAACTTAAATTACCTGATCGAGAAACAATGGAACGTGATTGTGATGCTAAAGTGGAATATAATAAACGTTTCTATGAATCTGAACGACATACCATTCAATGTGATTGGATTAATTTTATGGATGAAATATCCGAACAAGTAGGCTGTATGCCACCTGTATGGAAATATCTTTTTACGGATTTTAAATTATTCATAAGCATGATGTTTGGTCCATGTGTTCCATATCAATATCGATTGGTGGGGCCAAATTCATGGCCAGGAGCACGTGAAGCCATATTGACGGCTACAAAACGTATTCAAGCACCATTGAAAACAAATTTAGCAATCAAACGACAATCAGATTGTGGACGATTTTTGAAAAATTTAAGCCTTGTACATTTGCTTATATTGTTGGCATTTGTTGCTATATTCTCTTTTATCATTGTTACGCTAAATGCTTTGTTTTAAATTAATGTTATTGTTTTTAACTTTCTCAACTTCATCATCAACATATAGGATTATAAATACATCATTTATTGGTGAATGATAAAATATTAAAGATTATCATTATCATTACATTTATTTATCATCAAGTTGCTGGTTGTTGTTGTTGTTGTAAACGTTTTGCACGCATACGTTTTTGTATATAATGAAGACATTCATCAAGAGATTCTATTGGACTATCTTCATAACCATCTTGATTGAAATAAATCATTAATCGTGATACAAGTGCCCATGCTTCTTTATCTGTCACATTTCCCGTACCAATTATAGATGTATTAATTTGCGGTGCTGGAATGGGTTGCTTGCTATGAACATTTGCTAATGATGATGATGATGATAATCTGTTCATGGATGATGTGTCATTATTTTTGTTGGTAACAATTCCTGAGAAACTAATCTTCGATTCTTTATTCATTTCTGATTCTATCATCGTTGATGATGATGATGATGCATCTTCCCGATGATCATGACGGTCAATATTATTACTTGGATGGAGTGAATTTTGATTTTTACCTACAGAACGTTGCAAACTTGCATAGAATCGTCTTGATCGTCTATTATTATTGATATTAGCTTTTCGATTCATTTCAATTTGTTTCCATATTTGTAATTTTTTTTGTTTTCGTTCTGATATCTTTTTTTCTTTACTGTTGTTTTCAGTATTTTCAGAAACAAATTGTTGTTGCTGCTCCTGTTGTTCGATTGTTATTTCATCTAGATGATGAGGGGTGAATTGTTGATTGTTATCAGCACAAATAAAATTCACAGAATCCGGTATAGCGACAATTTGAGCCATATATTGATGATTTCCAATTGGTTGTTGTTCATCAAACTTGTCGTCCATCATTGATCGAAGACGACCTATTGTACGTATGATTTGTGAATCTTTAGGCATTTGTTCATTAACCTCTGGAGGCAATGTTGCTCGATGTGTTGCAATGATTGTTTCGGCTGATTCATTTGTAGTTCGAGCACATTCTTTTATGGCGATCATAGTTCGCCGAACTTGCATTTCAACCATATCGGGTGCATGATCATGTTCATGTTTTATTTTAATATCATCACCATTTTTAAATAAACGACCACGGCAATTTTTTTCAGAACATCGAAACGAATCTGTTATGCCATCACTCAGTTTTCGATCATATCGATAATGATAACCATGTGCAATTAAATGAACTCCACCACGTTGTGATTCAACAATATAAACATCATCATCAATAGTTTTTGAATTCGAGTTATCATCATTATCGACGTTGTCCATTGGTTACATTGCAAAAATTAATGCTACAATTAATGCAATAAATTAAAAAATTAATTCAATCGGGTCGTACTGCCGCCAAAAATAAATTTTATGTTGAAATTTTCAAAGAAAAAAAAAATCGCGAAAAATCTTTAACCCAAAATACGTATGTATTTCCAATACATGTGGCTAACAAAACATTAGCTCACAAAAACAATCGCTCAAAATGTAACCCAAAGCCTATTTGGATGAAAATAGTAAGTAGCTAAAAATAGCAAAAAAAAAAACGCGCGCATATACTGAATTTTATTCAAGTTCAAATATTGAAACGTTGTGTAAATGATTTAAAAATGACACATTCACAATAATTCAATCGAAAGCCTGATGTTTTGCTCAAAAATTCAATTTTCAATTCACAAATCATGATTAAAAATCCCGCTAAATCAATCGCCTGTACTATTCGAATTAATGATGAATCCTATTCGAATCAACATAAATCCATTCCTTTATATTTTAAGGTTTGATATATTCAATTCAATTCGATAATTATGAAATGATGACTAATGAATTTTTTTTTCTGTTACAGGAAGATGGTCAACGATTTCTGATGCAACAAACATTAAAGATGCTCACCTCTTCACCATATAATTTTGAAATACATTTAGAACGAATTCATTCACAAATTCAACTCGTTAAAGTTGATCTAGGTATTGAACCAGATGTTTATTCATCTACATTTGTTGATTTTAATCTACATCGTCGTGGAAATCATTCACGTTCAATTACATTTATATGGGATTCTTCGGGAAAAATACGACCAGAAAACGTGCGCAACAAACAAAGAGATTTCTTAACCATATCGATAATTTTTTCCGACATGTCAATCATCGAGATACGATTACAGATTCGTTTCTATATTAAACCTGGTAAACATTATCGTTGGGGTGAAGAACTTGATCATTGTAAAGGTGAAATAATCTATAACATTGATAATGATCGACCATGCGACATGATTATAATGCCAACATTGTATGCAAAACCAAAATATTTTCATTTATTACAGCAACAACAACAACAATAACAACAACATTCAACATTGTCATCAAGTTCAAATTTAATGTAATTTTTTCCACATTTTTTTCACATTCACAATGAATTTAATATTAATAAACAAAAAGAGTTTGTGACTACTACCACCAATTGTTTTCAGAAATGGAGAAATTTTTTTTTTATTGAATAATAATAAATGGGATATATACCTGTGGGATTGTGTAATAATTGGGCAATATTTTTTTTTTCGTTCTTTCGAACATTCAATTCAATTCAATTATAAAGACCTATTTTTTTTAGAAATTTCAAAAAAGAAAATCAATAAGAATAAGAACAAGGAATAGAACATCACAATAATTTGAAAAAAATATTTGTCATAATAAAAATAAAATAAGAAAATAATAATCAATAAAGAAATTGGAAAAAAGAATTAAAATTGATTAAAAATAACGCCTAATTTGTTGTTTTGTTGCCGGTGTAAAATAATAATAGTCATTCATGAATGGACGGGAAAGAAAGATTGGTTGTAGCAAATGGGGGGAAAAAAGGAACAACAAGAATTTGTTTTCACCGAAACAAACAAACAAACAAACAAAATTCTGTGTGATGGGTGTTGTTACACATTTAACAATGAAAAAAATGGCATTGAAAATTGGAAAATAATAATAAAAATAATAGATGATCTGAGGATTCAATTGGATAAAAAATAAACAATTTGTTAAAATCCTAAATATTATATAGAATTTATATATAAATGAAACATTTTAGAGCTCTAAACATCAATATATAAATTGTCGTGTATGGCGAATGAATGATGATGAATTAACGTATATATGTTGTATATAAGTTGTTTCCGTGGAAAGCTCATTTGATAAATGATTGAGAAATTGATAAATGGATTTTTAGAGATAGACATGATCAATTACAAAAAAAAGAATGAGATTCAATGTTGATTGTTTTGGCTCTGGTTCTGATTCTGATTCTGTATCAATCCAATCACTACATCATATTCATTATTATCGACTATTTTTGTTTAAATCAGGAGAAAACAAGAATTAATTAAAACAAACAATGATTCACCACACTAATGAAAAACTTACCTTTCGTCAATAAGCAACGATAAATGGATTCATTTTTCATGTTTTGCAACACTTCATTTGTAAGTTTAACACGTATACCATTCGGTCCTGTCATGTGAATATTTCTTAATCGTGTCGATATCAATGAATCAATTGAATGTTGTTGTTCAGATTGTTGTTGTGTTGAATCCGTATTACAACTCTGAGGAATATTGTTATTATACATACATTCGATAAGTTTATCGCGAAATTCTTCCATTGTTAAATGTTTAAAATATAATGCATAATGTTCTATGAAGAAATTCCGTCAGTCAATCATTTATGTTTGAAACATATCATGAATTGAAAGGATTCTTACCATTATTGTCAAACGTAATGAATAACGTCAATTTAGTAGCCGAAATTTCTGGCATATGAATCAAATTATATAAACGAATACCATCCTTAAAATCCCAAAGTTGTATGAGATCATCACGTGATAAACGGCGAAGATCTTCAGCAGTATAATCACAAAGCTGTTCAGCTAAACGAAAGAATCGATTACGTTTGAGCCATTCATATGTTTCGATAGCACCGGCATCAAGCGGTAGCTGATTCGAAGATGATGGCGTCAACGATGATGATGAGCCAAAATTTTTCATCATAGATGTAATAGATGGCGATAGTGACCGAATCGATAATGATAACGACGATGTTCGAACAATTCCTGGTTCATCAAATTTGTCAACAAACTTTGTGTTCTGAAAATGATCAAATTATTCCATGGACAATTATCATATGGACTATAATGTAAATACTCACGTTTGAAGATTGAGACTGTGAATTTTGACCGGCCATCATTGGAGATGAGATCGTTAATGTTGCAGTAGACATTGAAAATTCACCTGGACCACCTTGTTGACAGCTGGCTACCATAGCCAATGATGGTGCAGTAGCCATCGGGTTCAACTGATCGGTTGATTTTGATGTTGGCATTAAATGATGATGAGGATGAGAATGGGAATGACCATATGTATCAAGTTTTGTGGACATATTTGAAGGTGATGATGATATAGGTGGAGAATTAGATTGATGTAGATTATTACCAGAAATGGATGAAAATTGTGACATTGATTGTGATGATGAATGATCCAAAATCAATGCAGATTGATGGTGATGATTTGATGAATGATGATGATGATGAGTGACCAAATTGTGTGGACTAATCGGAGTGTTTGGCATAGATGTTGCCGATGTGACCATACTTAATTCTGAACATGTTGGTGATTCAGTCATTGAACGATTTGTTAATGCTGAAATTGATTCTTGTTGATCGAATTCTTGTTGATGATGGTGATGTTGTGATAATTCAGAATGTTGTAGTTGATGCTGTTGTTGTTGTTGTTGAATAGTGGCAATCATTTCTTCTTCTTTAAATGTTGTCAATAATGTACAATCATATGAAGGTTGATAATAATTTTCTGAATCCGGATGTTTAGCTACACGATCACGATCGGTTTTGTGTTTACGTTCTGCTCCTTTGGATTTGAAAACTTTAATCTAGAAAAAAATGTGGATATGAAAAATTTGTTCATCAATCAATCAATCATTCAATCAAACATACCAGACAACAAGCTGAATCGACTTTATTTCCATCCAATGAATATGTGTCAACAATAAGACGAAATGGTGTACCACGTTCACCACCATGTCTTTTTGATGTAAATTCCGTACTAATACAATTGATTTTAACGAAAATTGAAGCTTCACGGCCAGGATTCCAAACAAAAGTCATTGAATGATTAAATTGTGAACGAAGATCAACATCGAAAACACCATAAGACATGGAAAAATCAATATCGATCATACGACCATTGTTGTGAGCTTGCACCCAACCATTTAGTTCTTCATTTTCTCTATATTGAAGCCGCTTCTCAACAAATCCTAAACGAACCAATGTTTTCAGATTAGGTTCAATAGGTACTTTTTTCAATTTCTTCAATCGTATTTCATAGGATTGGCCCTGATTCAAATAGGTCATTGTCATTAATCCAACGCGAGTTCCAGCTGATGTTGGTGCTCCAAGAATGTATTGAAATTTTCTATCATCTTCATCATCTATTCGTGGCATTGTATGTGGTACTTGTACAGTTCCAGCAGCTTGATTCTTAACACTTGGTGCATCAGTTTTAGACCAACGACGCCATGCATAGCCATAACAATTGGCTACACTATTTCTAGAGCTATAGATATTTTCCGTATCTGGACGATAAGCAAAGGGACTAAATATTGATTACAGTAAAAGAAACAATTAAAATTAGATTACAGCAAAATCAGATTATGAAGAAAAAGTTACTTTTGCTCTAAAGGATCTCCTTGATCTGTCGATAATGAATGGCTTTGGTTTTGTTGATCAATACGTTGATTATTATCATCTAAAAGTTTTTGACCATCTTCCTGTTCTTGTTGTTGTTGTTCATTATTGACTAATGAACCTTTAAATCGTATCCTTTTAACAAGTTTTTCCTCTGCATTCAATGCAACAACATTAGTTAATGAAGTGGATTCATTTGAAATCGATGATTCGACACCACCACCACCACCACTAGTAACGTTTGAGCTACCGGTCATTAGAATTGCATTCGATTGTAAAGCCAATGATTTAGTATTCTGAACAATTGATGAAGAATCAGGTACATTTGATAATGATTGACAGGAAGAATCATCATTGGTAGTAATGCTGTTTTCGCTGCCATAATATCTATGAATAAATTCAAAGAAAAAAAAGAATTATTATCATTATTCAATTCAAATAGAAATTAAAATTAAAATTAAATACATTTTGTTTGGGTCAAAAGTACGAATTGGTTGATGAGAAGTACGATGAGTTGTGGTCAAATTTGAATTATCATTTACTAATGTTGTTGTGGCAAGATTTTGAAGAGAAGGAAGTGATGAAATATTATTATTATGATGATGATGGAAATGAGCTGTAGAAGTAGTAGTAGTCGGTGTTGCGACCGTTGATGATAAAACTGCCGTGGTGGTTGAATTTGTTGTAACAACAATTTCATTCGGAGTCGATGCCGATGCTGCAGTAACCGATGAAGGTGATGATGATGATGGCGATGAACGAATTGAAGATAAATCCAAATGATTCATTAACATGGCTGGCGATGATGGTATTGTTGATTGTTGGCAATTTCCTGGTGATTTATTCGAATTTCGAACCAAAATCAGATTTAAATGATTAGATTTTTGTTGATTTTGTTGTTGCTGAATATTAACAATAGATGAAGATGATGAAGACGATGACGACGATGATGATGATGGTGATAATGAAGAATTCGGTGAAGAATCGATAGCAATATCGGATATTGGATGTTGCCGTTGAGAAAGAGGATGATTTGAATGTTGTTGTTGGCGTTGATGGTGATGGTGGCGTTGATGATGATGATGATGATGATTCGATAAAGAATTTAAAGAATTATGCTGTAATTGTAAAGACTGTTGTTGTTGTTGTTGATGGAAATAATCGTCTTCAATTTTAACCATATCGTTTACAATATGTCCATCCGATGTACCATCACCACTGGAAATACATCCGGTATTAATAAGCTGTCCGGTATTATTAATACTTCCAATGGTTGAAAAGAATTGATTAATAAATGGTAAATTTGTTTGTAAATGATTCAGATTGTTATTATGATCTTGCTGTTGTGATGATTGTTGATGTTGTAAATGTTCAAGATGAATTTGTAATTGTTCCAATTCAAGTTGCTGTTGAAGTTGATCATTATTATTATGATGGTGTTGATGATTATGAGGTTGTTGAAGTTGCTGTTGTTGCTGTTGTTGTTGAGATACCGTAGAATTCGAGGTTTGTTGTTGTTGAGCTGTTGTTGTGATTAATGATGATGTTTTAGATGCCATCATGTCGTTATGGTTTGTATTGTTGATCGAGATGAAATTCTGTATAGAAATGGCATGTTCATTGTTGTTAACACAATCAACCACCACATTACCATTATTATCAAAATTATTTTCCAGACAAAGATTCGAAAATGAAACATCGACAAAATCATCGTTTTCATTGATAGCTGCATTCGTTATTGTTGTTGTTTGTTGATTGTTCATTACCAATATTATCAAGGAATGTTTGATTATTATTGTTTATTGTTAAGAGTAATGAACGATTATGATTCAATGGTTATGGTAATGATGTAGTTGACGATGATGAGATCAATCGTTGTAATTGATTAATGCCATTTTTATCGACGATAATATTACAATCATTATTTGGGACAAATAATTGTTGATCATGATGATGATGATGATGACATGGTATAGTTTTGTTTTGTTTTGTAGTTTTCTTTTATCAGATAATTGTGGATATACTGTTGATCATTTATATGTTAAATGATTGATGAATAATTTAAATCGATACATGATTATTGTCTGTTTTTTTTTCATTTTGACCACATGATAATGAAAAAAAAATTGCTGCAAAATTCAATAAAACAGAATTAGATTTCGAATCAATATTGAAAAAATTTTAGAAATTATTTACGTATTTCAATTGTGACACATGAATGATCGAATGGTATATTTATTCATTTTCAATTTCATGTCTTGTAATAGTATTCTCATTGATTATTGATACTTTAATCATCATCATTCATTCATTCATTTATTGATTGTTCGATTAATTGATTGATGATCCATGAGCTCTGTGTTTATTTTGATCGAAAAAAAATAAAAATAAAAATTGGCAAGATAAATAAATAGAAAAAAATAGAAAATTGATTGAACAAATAAACAAAATATACTAAAATGACCAATGATGATTTTCGAATCGATGTACTTGATTGTGATAATGATGACGATGACGATGACGAAGATTACGACGACGATGGCAATGGTCACACACATAGACACACACACACACAAAAACGATCAAAACATCGAAAGATCAAAAAGAAAAATTCATTCAACCAGTGAAAAAAAACGAAAAAAAAAGATCAAACATAAACAACCGGTTCTTACTGGCTCTTTTTTTTTTTTTTTTTAAAAAAATGTAACACATACACAAACACATGAAGATACAAATAAATAAATGTTCAATTTAATTGAACAAAAAAAAAACTTGATCAACTATATTATAATTGATGTGTACAAATCTTACATATGTCAATTTTTTTCATTTGCTTAATTTTCAATGTTCATTCTGCGAAACAAGTGAAATAAAAAACAAAACAAAATAAAAGTTTTCTTAATCGATATATTTATGTAATTATCTATTTTTTTTTCTAATTTCAATCTCAACGTTGGTATGTATCATCATCAACGTCATTGTCATCGTCACAATATAGATTATCAGATCGGATCATATAGATCATCATTCTCTATATGTGTATGTTTTATTGTATTGTAAACACATGTGAGTGAGTAAATTCATCAAAAATCATGTACAAAGTACATACACACTCTTTAATCGTAGCCATAACAATTGATTATGATGATAATGATGGTGATTTTGGACAAAAAATGATGATGATGATGATGATGATGATAAAACTATTTACAAAACACACACACAGACACACACACAAGAGAGAGAAAGAGTGATGATTGACTGAAAAATGAATGTTATTTGTTGATGATTATTACGATCATCATACGATATACGCGTATACGATACGATATATGATTATAGTCATAATACATGTCTTGTCTTCCACTCGCCATGGCTTAAGATTTTTCCCATCCATGGTACATGTAATTGATAATCATAATCATGTTTTTTTTTCTTTTTGAATTTTATTTTTGATGAATGAAAATTCTGATAATAATCATCATTAAAAAAAAAATAAATAATAATCATCATTCGATTGTGTGTTGTAATAATAAATGTCATTTCCTGATTTGAATTTCGAATTTTTCTATGAAATACTCACTTGATTTTTAAATATACTGATTTGATGTGATCAAGAAAAAAAAACTCTATCAATTGATTTGGTGATTGATTAACCAATTTGGATGATAAATTTTTTTTTCGAGCTTCCCAAAAGAATCCAATTGAACTGACCGATTGTTTTTTTTTTTTTGAGATCATCACATCATTTTATATCACAAATTAAATTCAGATATAAAATAAAACTGGTGGACACGAACTGATGATAAATTCTCTGATGTATTAGCGAACTACTGGAATTAATATTTTTGTTGTGTTGTTGTTGAGCGCGTTCGTTTGATCGAAAACATTTTAGTTTTTTTTTATGTTCTTCTAAAGTTGTTGTTAAATATTTGGACATTTTTCAATTGAAATATTATCATTTGGAAACAAATAAAATTTTCTTTAATGTATCAAACACAACCACCATTTTACAACATAGACATATATACACACACACATCACTGAAAAAAGAGATAGACATCTTCATGATGATGATGATGATGATCATGATCATGCAACAGCAGATGCGTATAATTCAATATCTTCTAGTTATGGTCACAATGTGAACACATGTGCATATGAATGAATATGTTGAATGGTTATAAATACAAAGTTTCCATTTGTAGCTGCTGATATAGAATCCAGATTATTATGTAACTGCTATAAATAAAGTAGCAAACCACAGGCTAAAAAAAATCGTGTAAATGAAATGTTATTTCATTGTGACTGAAACAACAAATTGTACGAAAATAATTTTGTGGTGGTATTCTTTGTAGAAGTGGTCGTCGTCGTCGTCGTCGTTTGATTTGATTTGATCGATCGTACAACAGCGTCTTTTCTTCCTCTACCACCACTTGGTGCATGCATATATATATACAATTTTGATTCAAACGAGTGTTTTGTCCATTACACAACCATTCGCAAATTGTTGCATATAATGTGACATGAGAAACATTGAGAATTAAAATTGAAAAATTCGAAAAATAAATAATAATTGCTACAAAATCGAGATTTAAATGGTAGAATTTTCGCTGTAAATAATCGAATTCGTTTCAACACAAAAAACAAAACAAAAAAAATGCCTGAAAAGAATGTGAATTCCACATACCCAAGTGATGTAGAAGAAGAAGAAGAAGATGGAGATGGTCCAATCATTCGTACATGTTCCACAACATTGACAACATTACGATTGTCAGCACCACAATCATCATCATTACGATCATCATCACCAACGCCAAGTTCGAAATTATCATCATCAGATTTAAAATATAAATCCGATGATAATAATGAACAACGAATAAAAAAAGGACATTATCATTCTATTCGATTGAGGATTATTCATAATGAATGTATCTGGATTTGTCGATGGATAGCTGCAGGTCTAATATTTGTCAATTCAATTTGGCTTTCATACAATGTATTTGCCGGTGTTCGTGATCGATCCAACAATGTTATCACTAATTCGATGATTATAATGAATCTATTCTATGGATTATTATCATTTACGGTGGCCATGTTTTTATGGCGCCGTTTATGGCTAACAAATCATTATACTAGTTTTGCATTATTCAATATTTCATTCATCCTATTCATTGTGATTGAATTATTACAATTAAGTTATTGGTTTATAGTACGATTCACACCGACAAATTCATATCATAATTGGGAAACATTATCATTCTATGGTTGTGGTAGTAGTCGTTTAATTTCATATCTTGAATTATTAATATTTTTAAATTCAACAAAATTATCAACATTTAAATTGAAAAATAATAACAATTCATTCTAGATGGCGTTACTGTGGAAATTTTTTTTTCTCTTTTTTTTCGAATCATCAAATTTTTGTTTTGTGATAATAAAAATGTTTTATGTTTTATTTATCAAATTAGAATGATTTTTTTGTTATTGTTATATTTTGCATCAGATAGAATAATGTGCATGATTATGATTATTTCCAATGGTTACCGATCATAAGACGATATATCCAACAACCAAGAATGCCACCAAGATGACAAGCAACAATTGGTATCCAAAAATAATTATAATCATTATAAGCGAATGGTGCCGATTTCCATCCAAAAATTGCCGTCATTATTCGTGGCATTAGATCACGTGCTGGATTCAATGCACCACCACAATTATAACTGAATGAAGCAATCATTGAACCAAAATTTATGAAACCAATTGCAAATGGCAATAAACCTTTCGATGGTTTCATTGGATTATCTTCATCTGTCAATGAACATATGATCATAAGGAAAAACATTGTCGAAATGATTTGATCTAGAAATGCTGATCCAGCATTTATATGTGATGCTGATTTTGTACCAAAAATTGGCCATGTAATATCATTTGGCATACGATCTATGGTTTGATTATAAATCGCGTATGCTAATAATGAACCAACAAATGCTCCAAGATATTGTCCCAGAAAATAATGTAATAATTTTTTCCATTGTAATTTTCCAATAGATGCCAAACCCAGAGAAACTGCTGGATTTAAATGACCACCACTAACACCACCGGATACGTAAATTGAAACCGATAATGCTAATCCCCATGAAAGTGGTCCATTAATCAATGACAATTCTGGCATCTGTAGCATTACAGCATTAGCTGAACATCCTATACACTGTGCGTATTTTGGAGAAAAAAATGAAAAAAATGATCATCAGAATTTTATTTCAATATAGAAATACTGAAAAATTTACCACAAATGTAAGTGTACCGAGGAATTCAGCCAAAAATTCACGTAAAATATCCGATTCGGTTCGTATAGATGATAAACGTTTCAATGTTTTTTCCATTTTTCACTTTCAAAAAAAAAAATTTCTTTCAGATTATGATTTTAACCGTTACGATTACAATGATAAAATGGCATGCGATGCACACACACAATGTTGTGGCAAACATGGTTTTTTTTTATTTTATGGCCATAAATATAAAATGATTTCGTCAAGAATAACCATTTTCATCACTTATCGCATACACAGGTACTTACCAAAAAAAAAAAAAAAAAAAAAAAAAAAATTAATCCATTCTAATAATTACAAGGGCATAATAATTGATGCTGATAATTGATGGTGATTGTTGTCTCTTCCTTGTAATGGCAATTTTTTTTATCAAAAAAAACAAGAAATATTTAAACAATTGCAACCTAATTATCTGTGTTCGTGTTTAAAGGTGTGTGTGTGTGTGTGTCTATTTGCAAATTGTTGAATAATTTTTAAAGAATTGGTAATTTGACAAATTCTTGCAAAATTTTTGTTGTTGTTGTTGTTGTTGTTGCTGTGTCATTAAAATTGCAATACAAGCCACTTCATAATAATAATTATAATTGACAAGAGAGAGAGACAGAGAAAAAATAAATAATTGTCACATACATCAATTTGATTTGTTTTTCTTTTCAAGGAAAAAACCCGACACTTTTGATATTTTCAACAGATTCATTGACCTTCCTCCTCCTCTAACTACTCTAGATTGATCGATTGATTGATTGATCGGAATGTTGGATTATTTTTTTTCAAGTGGATTTTTCATTTTATTTTGACAAACAAAAAAAACGGAAAATTTTTGCAAAAAAGATTTTTGTTTTAGTTTTCAATTCTTGGTAATGATGGCAATAATGATGGATTCATCTTTTTTTGTAATAAATTCCATTGATCTTGTTTAGATTTAAGTAAAATTGATAATAATTCAATTGCTTCTTTCATTGATGATGATTGTGGTTGTTTTTGCTGCTGATGCTGCTTCTCACCATCATCATTGTGGCCACCAGAAGAAGATAGTAGCAAACGAATTCGAAATTTTAATAAACCAAATAATCGATTATGAAAATTTTCACACAATTCCATCATTGTAATCATTGAATACTGTGGTGGATCGTGATTCGGATTTTGATTCTGATGATGGATATAATTTCGAAAGAAATTTGTCCAAAATGACATGTATCTAATTTCATCATCCAATGATGGCCAATAATCATCAACCTCTTCATCATCATGGTTATTATTTTTTTGATCATCATCATTATTATTATCTTCATCGTCAATTTTATTTTTTCGTAATAAATATCTAGTAATACCATCAAGATTTCTCATTGATTTCCACAATGAATCTAATGATTTAATTTTGACCAATTCTTGATCATATCTTGGCAGAATTTTATCAATTATTTGTGCATATTTAATTAATTTAGAATTTATCATCAATGATCCATCACCATATTCGAGAAGAATTTGACATGATTTTTGTAGATCATCCATAAGTAATCGACTTTTATCATACATTATTGCGATTAGTTCGTCCATATAGGATTGTATTTTCATTAGATATGTTGAACGCATTTTACTTGTTAAACACGGGAAAATGACCATCACCAGTGAAATTTCATTACGAACATAACAAAGACGATCAAATACTTGTTTTGTATTCGGATATGGTCGATAGCAAAGCATACAAATTGCATCACAATCTTGATCATTTGGATTATAAACAATACTAGAAAGTAGAACTGGTCCAATAGTACATTGTCGACATTGTAATGCTAAAATTGTTTTTGAATCTTCCATACATTGGCAACAATTACATTGGAAAAAATAACATGAATGTTGTTTCAAACGTTGTGTGAATGATACCAATGGCCAACCACAACCATAATTGATGCTTATTTCTTCAAATTGAGCTATTGGTCTAAAATTGTGAAACAAAAAAACCAAAAAAATTATAAACACATGATTTATTATTTATTCACCACAAAAAATAAACTCACCGATTTGTAGTCAAATGAAAATAACCATTATCCATGAATTTCCATTCAGAATTTGATTCACAACGATGATTAAATAATGAACCAATCAAACAAACACATGTACCAACATTAGGCCATTCAAATGAATTAATCGAAATACGACGAATACCGCGAATGCAAACATCAATCAGATGAATTATTTGTTCACGCGGTGGTGGTCGTGATTGATCACAATAATAGCCTTGAACAATCGATGCTGTAATAGCTACATCCAATGCATTGGTCAAATGATATGCAAGAAAATCCAAGCCATGTTTTTCATGATTATCAATAAGATTCATAAATATTTGAAATTTATACATTTTATCATCATCCATTGGTTGATTATTATTTATATACATTTCTATTATGGCTGATGATGATTTTTCAGATGAATTTAATTTCAAAATATTCTTTATACCAAAACGATTCAACAGATGAAACATGTGATATGATGATTTTGAACGTTCAGTCCAGAATTGTTTCATACGACATTCAAATCTATGATGAGAATCATATGAATGCTGTAAACATTCTGTCGAACAATAGACAATTTCTGTACAATTTAAACATGGATAAAATGTATTGGAAATCAAACGAAAACATTGTTGACATCGAATCAATGAAGCTTCGGGAAACATTGCTATAGAAAATGGACGTTCACGAAATATTAGTTCATCATTTTCCATTGTTTCATTTGCCATGAAAAATCGACCTTGCCCATGACGATTTGTTAATGAACATCGAAGATCAATATCAATATTATCATCGTAGCTGCTAAAGTATTTGTCGTCATCGTTAGTGAATGTTTCGATCAAATCCTGATGCAAATTATCATCATAATAATTGTGGCTTTTAGTACGTAGAAAACGTTTAAATTGATTTTTGTTTTCAATCATTGGATAATTTCGAACCAGAATACTAAACAATTGTAATGCTTTTTCCATATTACCAATTTTGGCCAATAAATAAACTTTAGCTAAAAGATATGTTTTTGATAATCGAAATCTTAATGCAAAATCAATATTTATCAATGCTTGTTTTAGCGATTCTTCATCATTGCCATCATCGCTAAACAATGCCAATTGTTTAGCACGAATAAAAAATAAACGTGCCATCAATTTTCTATCATCAAAATGACATGATCTTAATGCTTCATTGACAAGTTTGAGAATTTTATCCGATATTGAATGATTATTAGCAGATTGATGATGATGATGATCATCATCATTATTATTATCTTCGATTTCTTCATCCAGATTACAACAATTATCGTGTGTTTTCTTTTTTTGTTCACTAAGATAAAATCGAATTTCACAAAGATTTGCTTTTGATATTCTGGAATTTTTTGCCAACAAACTTTTCGAATTATTATGAAATTTTTTTTCAATATGCATCTGTATTTTTTTCCATAGATTACCATAGCTTGTTACATTGGCTTCAATGAAATTAATCAACCATTCGATATCAGTGAAATTCATTTTATCCATTTTCATTTTTGTTTCACCATTACCATCGACGACAAGATCATTTAATCGGGATTGTATTTGATGACGAAGCTTGGAATTCATTATTATTTTTTTTTATTGACAATTATTGATTCAAACGAAACAGAATTTATAATGGCAAATTGATTGATTCGAATTTATTGAAATTCACGACAAAGTTTTTTTTATTGTTATTTATAATTCAATATACTTTATATATACAGTTTCCAATACTAGATGGCGTGATAAACTGTTTTTGAATTGTCAAATGTTACACGTAAATATTGCTATAATCAGCTGTTGAGCTCATCGTCTGTTTTTTTTTTTTGAATTCCGAAAATTTCATTCTGCCAAATCAAATCAAATAGAATAGAATTGTGAATTTGTGAATCGTTAATCGTCGACAATATTACATTATTCATTAATCAATCAGAACAAAATGTGGTCCAATTTCAATGATAGTTTTACAGCAATAACCGATCATATTTCTACACAAATTCGTCAAACAATTCCTACTATACAATCATCGTTTGGTGAGTCTTGAATTCTTATCTAATTTAATTTATGCTAATCCAAATTTACTAAAAGGTGATCAATCCAATCATCAGGATGGTACGAAACGTGAATTGGAAACAAAAATTTCATTACTACGTAATGAGGTTTGTTTTTTTTTTTTAATCGTCAATCGAATCAATTTTTGTTTTTCTAAAATAAAAAAAAAAATCCATTTCAATCGATTAATACTTAGGTGGTCCGACATCGAAACATTGCCCAAACATATAAAGAACGTTGGCTTGAAGCAGAAAATGTTTGCAAACAAATTACCGGCAATTGTTCAAAGGTTAGGAGATTTTTTTTCACCACACAGATGTTTCCGGACACAAAATCCGAAAATTTGCTCTTGATCTATTCCCCCAAAAAAAAAATTCATGTGGGATGTTTTTTTTGTTATTTGTCAATCTGGGTGTTCTTCCGATTTTTTTTTCATTGAAGAAATTTTTTTTTTTTTTACAAACAAAGAGTTACTCTCCCAATGAGACGATGTTTTTTTTTACTGATGATGTGTTTTCAATGTCAACGTGTTCACATTGGACCACACACACACACACGCGTACACCAACCAATTGAATTTTGACTTTTTTTCTATAAAAAAATTCGAGGCCAAAAAAAATCATAATTTCCGTCCACATAAATGAATGAATGGTTGGTTGGTTGGTTACCTTGGTTCAGAAAAATTTAGAAAAAAATTGAATACTTGGTGACAATCAGTAATCTTTTTTTTCCTGTTTTGTTTGGATTCATCCAACAACGACGATAAAAACCACAGCTCATCACTACTGCTATAACGATGATGACGATTTTTTTTTGTTCAAATAATGATAATTTTGAATATCCAAATGCCATAATGATGGCAATTATGATGATGATGATGATATGGCAATAATAATCGTAATAAATCCAATTCCATACCATCATTGAAATCATTCGATTGTAATAATTGAATCATTAAATTTGAAAATGAATTGGTTGGTTGGTTGGCTGGTTGATTAGTTTTAGTTTTAGTTGATTGTCTGGATCGTTAATTTTTTATTTATTTTTATTTTTATTTTCGAATACCAATGATCACTGATGATGATGAAACTTTTTCTCTATATATGAAAACAAAACAAAAACAAAACATTTTATAAATGATCCATTAGAATTATTATGAAAACAAAACAAAAAAAACAACAACAAATTTCCAATGAAATGAACTTTGACATCTCTGACAAACTAGACATATTTTTTTTCCTGTAGTTTAGTTTTTTTTGTTTTTTTTTGTTTGTTGATTACATAATGACGATGATGATGACTTTGTACTTTTCTGCTATAAAAATTCGAATCAAATCAAAGAAATTCAAAGAAGAGTTGTTGGTAGAAAATGCGTATCTCTTTCTCTCTCTCTAAATGATGTATTTGTATTTTTTTGGTGTCCATAAATAAATGATGAAGAAAGATGAATCGTTTTCTTCCATGGATGCAATTAAAATGTTGTTGACCTGGTCATCGTCATCGTCATCACTTTCATTTTGAAATTTGAATCATACTCATTAACCTCGCCACCACCACCACCATCGTCATCATCATCATATATTCATATTATGGGAAATATGGCATAAAAAGAATAACGAAAAAAAAGTCAAAAGTCAGCATTATGGTTTCATTTCATTTTATTTTTCCTTGTTTCATCGTTCAAAGAATGTGCAAATGTTTCGCGGAGTTTTTTTTTTTTTTTTTTTTTTGATTGATCAATGACCGTCCAGGTCAATGAGTTTTTTTGTCTGTTGATTTTGTCCATTTTTTCGCTGTTCAGTGGAAATGTTTTGAGATTTTGTTTTTGTTTTAATCATTCGATTCGATTCGGATTTTTTTCCATTTCATTTTTTCACAATTATTACAAACAAACAAACGAACAAGGCTTGTGAATCATTACAAAACAAAAAAAACAAAAACCTGAAATGATTACAAAGGTCAAAGTGCTGTTATTGTACCACTAACCAGTGAGTGACCCTTTAGGATCGAAAATAACGAAAGAACCAAAAAAAAATTATGATTTCCTGTTGCTTGATTTTGTTGGTTTTTCTTTCACTGAATCGTTTTTTTGATTTGAATTTTTTTTTTTTTTGTTTTGTTCTAGGTCTATGATGATGATGTCAATCTATTAGATGACGATGATGATGAAATTATTGATGATAATGATGATGATGATGGCCATCAACAACAATTGACAAAATCATCATCATTTGAATCATCAACGATTGTGGACGTTAATGAAGAATCATCACCAGTAGTAGTGACTCATAGTGATGATGAAAAAAAATTATCGATGATCATCAGACAAACGAATTATCATCATCATCATCATCATCAAAAAAAAAGCTGCCAAAATGTATTGCAAATTTACGATTAGATTCCACCATTCAACAAATACATAGATTACAAGATGAAATACGTAAACTACAAACCGATGGTGAACATTGGAGAAAATTAGCCAAACAGGTATGTAACTACCATCAATTCTTATATTTGACCCTTTTCGTTATTTCCTGCTATTTATTTGTTTGTTTAAACAAAACGACCATTGGCTACTAAATATTACCTGTTGCATAATAATGTCTGGTTATGTTTTAGTGTCACTCATCATCACCTTGCTATTTATTGACCTAAAAATCTTGTCAAATTTTTAAATCATTAGGAATTTTTTGTTTTTGGTTTTGAAAACAACAACAACAACAACAAAAAATTTGCAATTTCTATTGCTAATGGAAATAGAAAAAAAAATTTTTTGATATCATATCACCAATCATACATATCTATGCAATTGCAATGAAACCAACCACACACACACACCTGGATACCAGCACGCCACATGTCAAATATACTTGCACCACACACACACACACACCACACTATAGCAACAATCAATCATAGATAGTTCATTCTCTCGATTTCCGGAAATAGAATTGTTTTTGTTGTGATGTTTTTTCAGTGTGTGTGTGTGTGTGTGCAATTGTCCTTTTTTTTATTGATTTGCTATTTACTGGTTGATTAGATTCTTGATTGACACTTGAAGCCGGTAAGACCTGCAGGTAGTAGTGTGTGTGTGTGTGTGTTTTCAATTCATTTTCATGTGAAATAAACAAACAAATGAATAAAAAAATTGACAAAACAAAACACAAAAATGACAAATTATTATGTGTCCTGTCACATACACACACACACACACAAAGTGATGTTAATCTTTTTTTCTGAATATTTTTTTTCCATGGCAGCGGTACCATATATATCTCTGTGAATATATGTATGGCAAGACAGAGGGAATGAAAAAATTTTTTTTTTTTTGCCAAATCATCATCATCATCACTCCAAGTTTGTTGTTGTGATGGTGGTGGTGGTGGTGGCTGCTTGGATATATTATGTTTTTGTATGTGGTATGTGTTGATGATGATGATTGTTGTTGTTGTTGTTGTTGATAATCTACCATGTTTCCACAATCTGTCGTAGGAATAGTTTTGTTACCTCGGTGATTTTTTTTGTGGTTTCTCTTGTTTATCACAATTTTTTTTTGGTTTATGTGCTTGTTTGTAATGTTTTATGATCATAATCACTTGTGTGTGTGTGTGTGTGTGTTTTCGATCCAGATGTTGCTTGATTTTTGAAAAACCGGAGAAACAAAAAAAATTTTTTTTTTGCCATTTCGTTCCTGATTTCGATCTCAATGTTTCCGATTTTGTAGAATTTTTTCTTTTCCCTCTGATTCATTGTTGGATAATTTCCATACTGGGAAATGACCAGCATTTTTTTTTTTTTTTTTTTTTTCAACACACAACAACCAGAAAAATATTATGGAAACCAATTGGTGTGTGTGTGTGTGTGTGTATGTTAAACATTTGAAATGGTGGGATTGGCTTATTTTTTTTTCATTAGTTTGTTTGTGAATAGAAAATAAAAAGAGAGAAAAAGACACGCCATTTACACAGTTTGTATATGTTTGTGGATGAATAAAAAAAGGCTGTACCCATGTACTGGCAATACATATATGCAACAGGTATATGTAGGCACGGCTTCTATTTCCACTAGAAGTTGGTCGGTTGGTTGATTTATATTTGGTATAAATATCGGCTCAATTTTCCATACATGAGCTCTGAATCATTTTGTTTGTCCATTTGATCGTGATAATCGGTGATTTTAGATTTAGATTTTGTCAATTTTTTTTTTGAATTCATTTCAGAAAATAAAATGAAAAAAATTTCAAAATTTTAAATTTTTTTTTGTTTTCAATTTTTCTTTTCTACCTGTTGTTGTTCACACAATCAACGATGTTTTTTTTTCATCTGTGCGTGGATAGAAATCATCGATTGAAGAAGCTCAACGAATAGCTGATTTGGAACAAGTTCGCAATGAATTAAAGGTGAGTAGAATTTTTTTTGTCTCTATGTGTTTGTATGATTATCGATTCAGACACTTGTGACGAATTTTCGAAAAGAAAAATTATTATCCTTATTCCCGATCATCAGCTACATTCACAATACACAAACACACACAGCCACACACACAGAATGACTTTGACCATCGATAATTTTTTTTTCTCCACCAAAAAATGTAAAAATCGATTGTGTTCAAAGGTCAGTGACAAATGGCAATAATTCCGTTTCCACATTTGAGCTATGGTGATCATATTTCCACCGCCGCCACCACCACCAAAAACATCATCATGTCTTGGTTTGATTTTTTTTCCTTTATATTCTCTCTCTATCTGCCCATTTTTTTTTTTTACTTATAAGAGTTGTTGTAATGTTTTTTTTTTTTTTGTAAATATTTACTTATTGGGTGTGTGCGTACATTTTTTCTTTTTTAAGTGGTTATTGTCGTCGTCATCATCATCATCAATCGACATCGACCATTAGGTTTAGGTTAGGTTTTTTTTCTTCTCTTTCGTTTGGTTTGAAATCCAACAACCAAATAGAGAGAGAGAGAGAGAGGAATGGAAAAACAAATCAAACACCACCAAGCATCATCAACATCATCATCATATCAAGCATGCATGACGACGACGACAACAACGACGCGCGGTACCATGGTAAAATCAAAACTCAAACAACAACAGCGGCAGCAGCAGCAAAAAAAACATTTGGCGATTTTTTTTTTTTTTTTTTCACTACGCGTAATAGAGAATCTACTATTGGATAAAAAAAAATAGCCGTGGTGGATTCACAATTCGTGAATTGTGAAACGACAACGATGATGCTCTCGATGTGTGTGTGTGATTTGGTTGAAAAAGTAGAAAAAAAAGTCTCGATGATGCTTGTTTACAGCAGCAAACAATACACTATATATATACACAGGCCAACATGTATATGTGTGATGATTGAGAGGATGTAGTTTGTTTGCCGGTTGGTTCATGTTTGCTCTCACCTCTCTATCTCACTCATGACGATTTTTTTTCATACATGGATTTTGTTGTTTTTTTCGGGTTTTTATTTGTTGTTTGTATAGCGATAGAGAGAAACAAAAGTCTGGGCATCTTTTTTATTTTGCAATTCCAAAAATAATCATCAAGAGGGTCAAATGGTGGTGGCCTTTTTTTTGTTATTTGTTTTTTTTCTTTGTTCTTTTTTTTCGTTTTATTTTCGACTATTGGCCACCGACAACTTGTAGATTTCTAGATTTCTCCTAGTGATCATATGACTAGAATTATTATATGACACCACAAATATGCGAGTATTATACATAGATTAATGATGATTTATCATTTTAGTGATGATTTGAATGATTTACAGTACCTGTAGATTAGATAGGCGACAATTTTTTTTCTAATTAACATTGGTATGTGTGTGTGTGCGTGATGGATAAATTGTTGTAATAATAAAATTTGATCCAATTTCATTTTGTGCTGTTTTTTTTTCTGTCGTTATATCAATTTATAAATAGATTTGCCGTGAAGAATGTAAAAATTATGCAGAACAATGTAATGACCTGGTTGATCAAATATCAACAATTAAACATGAATCATCCATTGAATTACAACAATTGGATCAATTACATGATGAAGAGAAAAAGAAATTATTGGCATTACGTGATCAATTGACTGATGAGAATCAATTGTTGAAATTGGAAATTAATGAATTACAACAACAAACAAGAAATGTAAAAGAAGATTCTTCATCAATGGTAAATATTTGTATTCAAACCGATTCTGTTGTCGATGATTTGAGCTACATTGATCGAATTGTACGAGAATCATCAAAATATGTTGATTTATCTGAACTTGAAAACCACTATTCATCCAATGATGACCATGATGATGATGATGATGATCGGCAAAAATTTCTTGAAAAGATTGTCGAACTTTTATGTAAACGTATTGATTGTTTAAATAACAATAATAACAAGATGATGACAACAGTTGCTGATGATGATTGTGAGTCAAAAATGACTTTGATGACTTTGCATCCAGATCAAATGCTGAATCATGATGATGAAAATAATCATAGTCATGTGATGAATGAAGATGTTGATGATGATGATGATGAATTGGATAAAATTTCCAAAAAGGAGAAGAAGAAGAAAAATCTAAACAGAAATTGAATGAATTACAATCACCAGAAACAGAAGCAGCAACATTGTCTAATCAGAAATCAATTCGCGAAGAACCAGAAGGTGCAAATAATAACGATGATTCAGATACAACGACAACACAAGATGATGTAGAAATAGCTGTTGTACAAAAAAATCAATTAATCAATGAATTGGAAACGAAACTTGCGTCATTATCGAATGAATATGAAGACCTGTGTCAACGATATAATTCATCACAGAATGAAAATCAAATATTTGAAAGACGATTCAAAGAAACGGAAGAAGAAAGTGTTAAACTACAGCATCGACTTCATCAAACTGAACAAGAACGGGATTCGTTACAGGTGGGTTTTCGTTGCTTACTCTCAATTCATTTGAATTGATTTAAATCTTTCATTTTTTTTCGTGGAATAGATTCAATTAAATGAAGTGGAAAAAACTCGAGATTCACTGCAACAGGAATTGGAAAATCAAAAGGCACAATTAATCAGTCAAATTGAATTAAGTGATAAATCATTGATCGAACTGAATCAATGGCGTAATCAATATGACCAGATGAGTCAACATTTAAATCAATTAACACAAGATAATCATGCATTGAAATTATCATTAGCCACTAAAGATGATGAATTGATTAAATTGATGGAAAAATTAGCCAATTTGCAAAAATCCATCGCTGATCAACAGCAGGCTGAATCTGATCGAGCCGAAATTGATAAATTAACCGGAGAATTGAATCGTTTACGTCAACATCTGGTACAAGTTGAAGAAACATATATTGGTTATCTGAAAGAATCAGAAGAACGTTTAGAACAATCACAAAAAATTGTTCAACAATATGAACAAATGAATATTGATCAAAGAGAATTGGAATATCAAGAATTGGTACAATCTTTACGTGAAGAATTGAAAAATTCACACGAACAATTGCATCAATGTGAAGATAAAAATGAAAGATTGGCCGCTAATTTGATTAATATGCAATCAGTTATTGAACAATTGGAAAAAGAACATGAAAGAAAAATTCGATCCATGCATGAGGAACAGGAAAAACAGAAAATTCTCAATGAACAATGTAATGAGGAATGGCAACGTCGATTGCAAACATGTGAAAGACATTTATATGAAACAAGAAAAGCACTGGAAGCAGCATCACGATTAACTGAACAAATTGAACAAAAAGAATCGATGATTGAACATTTTAAAAGAGAAGGTAAGTAAATGTGTCAACCCATCCATGTCAAATGATCAAATGATCGACACAAGCCTTCAAACGTTGGAGTATTATATATAGGTACTGAGTTTGAGTAAATGTATGACATCAGTACCTATTATAAGACTCATACGTTTGTTGAGCACAAGATTCAACGGCTGCATTTTTTATGTTTATCGATTGATATTTTCTGACCATGGTCATCTGATAATCTAATGTCTAATGTTACTTTTATGTTTTTTTTAAATAGCTAAAAACAAAGATCAAGAAATCATGAAATTACAGAAAAAAATTCAAGACATTGAACAATCACAAGAAGGTAAAGTGGATAAACAAATTGTTAAAAATTTAGTATTGAGTTATCTGGCCACACCGATGGATAAACGTTCGGATGGTGAACGATTATTGGCACGTTTTTTGGATTTCAATCAAGAAGAAATGAATCGTGTAGGAATTCGTATTGGTAGTGGTGGTGGACGTCGTGATTCGAATTCATTTACATCAAGTTTTGTACAATTTTTGGAAACGGAATCATATCCGGATAAAAATGCTACTACTACCACCACCACCGGCAGCCATGAACGAAAATCTTCAAACATTGCAATGTCTAATCATCCACAACAAATGGAACTTGCACGTGATCTTAATAAACGTTTGAGCCAACAACAAGTGAATCCTTTTGTTACACCTATTGCAACAACAGCAGTAGCAGCAACAACAACAACAACATACCAACATCATATCCGTCATAGCCGTACACCATCTATGCATTCACAGCAATCATCATCATCATTATCTGATTATCAAATTTCAAATCCTTTGGCACAGAATCAATTGTTAGCATCAAATAATATTGACACATCATCAATGACAATGATGATGAATATTGTACCACCAGCTAACGTAACAACTTCAACAACAACAACATCAAATATAACAGAAATCATTCGTGATGTAATGAATAAAGATAAAATTATTTAAAAATTAAAAAACGATGAAATTTTTTTCCCTTTTGACTTTTTTTTCTCTCTATGACATTCAAAGTAATCAAAATCATTTCGTAGTAAATCATCGTGGTGGATTGAATTTATCGAAAAAAAAAAATAATGTTTTGACATTTTCATGCATAATTTATACACAAATCGAATGTATTAAATATCAAAAGGAAACAAAAATTTCGTTTTGTGAAATTGTCATATTTAAATCAAACGCAAAATAATGAATCTATTCATTCAACAACGTTTTAATCTTTGATTCTTGTTTTTCAAAAATGATGAAAATGAATAAATTATCAATTTCTGTGGCCATAACGATCATATCGGTGTTGATCTGTACAATGGAAATCAAATCAACGGCAGCGGTCGAATTTTTTACCGATTGTGGTAATGGTGAATTCAAATATTTCAGTATGGACGATTGTCAAATTGGACAGCAAGATTGTTTTATTCCATTGAATAAAACATTCTATTTACATTATATAGTGATTGGTAATCAGAATTCCAAAGAAATTATCGCTAATATGACTGTGATAGCGAATCAAATTCGTGAAAAAAGACAAATAAATATGTGTAAACTAGCGCCCGAAATGGTTACATGTCCAATGATAAAAGGCCAACGATATCAATTTTTTTTGGAAATGTCTTTAAGTGGTATATTCCACATTGGCGAAAATAGCCAGATATTACCGGTAAATTTTCTTATTGAACTTTTTGGCGATCATGGACCAATAGCATGTGCTGATATTAAATTCGCTGTTACCAAAACCTAAACAACACAATATTATTGTGAATGATCTTGAAAAAATGATTTTTTTTTATATTTTCAATTTCAATTTTTTGTTGTTTTTATTGAATTAAATGCCATTTTATTGCTGATAAAATAAAATAAAAAATTTTGTGCAATGTTAAATACCATACAATGACATTTTACAAATAAACTTATAGAAATAGAAACTTTCTCACCTAGACATAGATAGATATGGTGTTTTTTTGTGGGGAAATGAACCTTGATTTGTAATCCTCTTCCGCGGTAGTAATCATCATACATTGGTGATGATTTTGTTCCAATTTTCATTTTTTTTCTACTACTTTTGATGTTGGCCAAATATAAATTTCCAATGCGATTAACAACATCGAATGGAACCTTAAAAAATGTATCTGAAATTTTGTAAAATTGATTTTGTGGTAGTGATTCTATCAGCGATTGGCAATATTTTTGTCATCGTTCAATCCGGTCACAATCCACAATTGGCGAATCGAACGTTTGGATCATCACATCAAATCATTCAAGTTTATGTTCCAGATCTTGATCGTAATACTGAAGAAGTGATTGTATCACGTGGATTTCTAGCTGAAACATACAATATAACAACCGATGATGGTTACATCTTGAAAGTTAGTCGAATTGTTGATCCAAGCGATATTATGCATGCTAAAAAATTACAACGAAAACCAATGATTCTTGGCCATGGTCTTTTTATGTCTGCCGATTCATTTTTAATTAATTCACCAATTTTGAATACCACCGATTTACCATATGGTAATAATTTAGGTTTTTCACTCATGTTAACCGGTCGCTATGATGTTTGGCTAGTGAATTATCGTGGTTGTGAATATAGTCAACAACATGTTAATATTTCCGTAACGGATTATAGATTTTGGCAATTTACATTGGATCATATGGCTCAATATGATTTACCTGCTGTTATAAGATTTGTAAAAAATAAAACCAGTTATAATGGCACAATTGGATATATTGGTTATTCACAAGGTTCAACTATTGGATTTGCTTTACTGGCTAGTCAACCACATTATGCAAACATAATCGAACCATTCGTTGCATTAGCACCTGTTGTTTATTTGGAAAATTCACGTTCATTTTATCGTTATCTTGCCAGATTTGTTCCCCTGTTACGACGTCGAAGTCATAAATTTTTTCTTTCTACCGCTTTTCTCAATAATCTAATTATCGGCAGTACTTGTCATTGGATAACACCATTGTGTTCATTTGGATTAGCCATCCGGTTTGGTTTCGCTGATCAACGTAATCTAAATAAAAGTCGTGCTGAATTATATGCACGTTGGTATGGAACTTCCGATTGGAATATTGTACAATGGGGTCAAATATATCTGAATAATCGTTTTGCACGATTCGATTATGGTTCACCAGAATTGAATCGTCAATATTATGGTATGAAAATGAATCCTGATTATGATATAAAACAAATATCACCGAATGTGAAAATAATCATCATACAATCACGTAATGATGATTTATCAACCATACCGGATATTGAACGTTTAAGACAACAATTACAAGATGTTGGCATCAAATCAATTGATTATAAAATTATTGATGATCCACGTTTTACACATTTAGATTTTATGTATGGAATGAATGCTGGAAAAGAATATATCAATGCACTTATTGACATGCTAGCTCGTTATACTTGACTGATATATTTGTTTTCTTCTGTTCTTTTGATTCATCATTATCGATCTCAAATGATTTTTTTTCTAATATTTCAATCTAACAAAATAAAGCTATCTAGAATTTTTTTTCCAAGAAAAACCACACCAAATGATTATACTTTTCACTATCGATCTATATTGATTTATTATCAACTATATCAAATTGTGTTCAATGTGTTTGTTTGATGATTATTTTATTTATATAATTTATAATGCAACAAATCAAAGTTTGGTATGCATGAAAATAATATACAGATAGCTGCGCCACCTATAATACTACAATAGGATGCGGCAACCACACACACATCATATACCACTCACACTACACAATACCACCACTACTACTACTACTACTGCCATTACACATTAATAGTGACTGTTGATATGATAAGATTTAGATTGGACAGCAAAATCGAAAAAATATCGATAACCACAATATTTTTGTGTGCATTTGTTGGATGATTTTATGTTTGTGTATGCTAAAGGGCGTAATATTTCATCAGAAGTCATCAAACCATCAAAGCTGTCTTTTGCAAGTTTGTTCAAATTACAAAAAAAAATTTTTTTTTTTTTTATTAAACCCTTTGTTTTTTTTGTTCCTATCACAGAATTTCGAATCAAATTTTCGTCGCCAAAAATAACCAAAATCATTTGCCATGGCTAGAGAATGTATGTGTTGTGCAGCATTGATCGCATTGTTTTTTCCACCACTTGGTGTATTGATGATGGAAGGTTGTGGTGTTGATTTTTGTCTTAATATTTTACTTACATTGTTGTTTTACATACCTGGATTGATACATGCATTCATCGTTATATGTCGTGATGAACCTCGAGCTGTACCAGTAACAGTGGTTGTGACTTGAAATGTAATTAATTCACACGATATCTTTCCATGATCATTTTTCATTGTGTATTTGCAAAATCAGAAAAAAATTGATGGCTTGTATTTTTTTAATTATGGAAAAAATTTAATAAAAAAACATTCTTTTTTTCTCAATCATCAAATCTATTAATCTGGTTCAAATACATTTACCACCACGACAATATTTATTCGGGCCACATGTTGTATTTTCGATTGCTGGATCAATGTAAATATTGACCAAATTATTTGTACACTGGATTTTCGTACAAATGGATACTAATTCTATATTTAAAATGTTTGCACGAAATGTTTCACCTAATGCCATTTTACATTGTTCATCAACGGTGATTGATAAATCATTTTAGGACAATGATGATGATCATTGCATGGAAATTGTATCATCTTTACATTGGTGGCTGGTGGTGAATAATGAAAACATTTTTTCGTTTTTTCATTCATAACCAAAAAATATTGTTTCAATTGTAAATAACTACATATAGAGAATTGTGTCTTTCCCGGACCAGTAGTGGATGACATAATATAATTTGTACTACAACTTGTTTCCGGTATCTCTTCATCATGATACATACTCAATACATGTCCTAATTCATGTGCCATAATGAATGCGGTACGATAACTTCTTGCCTCTACCAGTATGAATGATTCCATTGGTCGATTACAAGCAATATGACCAACGGTGGCCAAACCTTGTGTATCGGTTTTATTTCTACGAAAACGAAAATTATAACCAGTCAATAATATAGTGGCTGCATATCGTTGTTGTTGCATTGTTTCATTTAGTTGATAAAATTGTCGAAATGATTGCCTATATTGTTCACCATCAGCTTTATCATCAATTTTAATTGAATCATGAATCTGTTGTATATCCAATATAACAAAATGAAATTGAGCCAATTGTTTCATTGGTAGATTATTATATGATAATGATGCAGAATTTGTTACAGCATATATGAATCGATATAATTTTTGTTTATCATGATGAAATCTTCGTATTAATGGTTCATCATAGAATAGAAATAGATTCAGATAAATATTTCCAAAATGATTTTCATGATTTCCCATTATTGGTTTACCTTCGAATTCAATATCATCAATATCGACTAAATCGATACGTATTAATGATTCTTTTCGATGCATAAACGAATGACCACGATGATTATCATTGATTAGAATTGATTGCGAAACAATTGATGTCCTTATGATGAACGTACAAAGATAGTATGTAGTAAATATCAATAATAATGAATATAATTGCTCCATAATTCTATAAATTTTTATTCTTGACTAATTTTTATTTGATATTCTGAATTTCTAACAAACAAAAAAAATTTTTTTTTGTTTTATTCTAATCAATTTTAGTTAATTCGATTCATTGAAATGCAAATCACCGAAACCTTGAATTGACGACGACGAATCAGTAGTTTTTGAATAAATTTGAAAAACAAAATTTTGTCTAGTTGTCATCATCATCATCATGAAAATGGCTGATAAAAATGTGAACCATGTCAATATTCATTCATTTGGCCACGACGACAAATACATTCAACAACAACAACAACAAATCGAAAATGTGCTGGGAAACGGAACGTAAAGAAGAAATGTGGTGTTGTGCTGCTTCGGTAGCGTTTTTTTGTCCACCACTTTCTGTTCTTTTATTATATGGTTGTGGAAAAGAATTCCTATTGAATTGTATTCTCACTTTTTTATGTTATATACCTGGATTTTTACATGCACTGTGTATTGTATTCTGTCCAGATCGTATTAATCCAAAAAAAAAATTTCTGATGACCGAGGTTTGTATGCCATGTTAATGTTTGTGAATTGATTTAATCGAAAAATTTGTTCTATAGCAAGCATGTCGTGCTCGAGAAAAAGCTGAATATTTAGCACGTGCAAGAGCACGTGAAGAAGCTGCAGCTAGACAGGCCGTTACAACAGCTCCAACAAATCCACCACCACCACCACCACCTCCAGAAATTCCACAACCCTAAAACATGGATCAATCAACAATGATTCATCAGGAATAAATCGTTTTAAAAAAAACAAAATCATTTTAAAAAATTTAACTATCTGCTTTGTCATTGTTAGTGATTAGCCTAGTTTTTTTTCATCATGATCATCAACCGATCAACCAGCAAAAAAAAAACCAATTATCAATTGTCAACTTGTCATCATCATCATCATCATCATCAAAGATGTGTTTCAAAGTTATACGTCGTGATGAACTTTGGTGTTTTGCATCGATGGTAGCATTATTTTGTCCTCCTTTAGCTGTTATGATGATGACAGGATGTGGTATTGATTTTGTATTAAATTGTGCCCTGACATTTCTATTATGGATACCTGGTTTCATACACGCCTATTGTATCATCTATTGTCCTGATCATATTGATCCAAATGCTAAACTTCAAATGACTGAGGTTTGATTAGATTTTAATTTAATTTTTTTTTCTAAATCTAATTTGAATAAATAAATCTCAAACAATTCAGGCTGCCATACGTTGGAGAGCTCGTAAAGAGGCTGAACGACAAGCGGCGGCTGAACAAGCTCAAGGTATTGAACGATTATAATCATCTTTCATCATCATTGGCATCATATAACAAATGTATTCATTTATATTTAAATTTAAATGATGTATCATTCGAATGAATTGATATATAAAAAATAAAATTTAAAATTTTCAAATCGATACTATCGATATGTGTTGTTATTATTGTTGTCACGTGATCATCAATGCATTATTGTGTGTTTTTCCTTTTTTGATTTTATATTTTGAGCGTGTATTCTTCCTAGGCACTTTTTGATAAACGCATTAAGCATACGACAGCAAAAATCTCCGATGTTATGACATCGGAAGGATCATCATCCATCAAAAAAAAGTGTATCCAATACATTCATCACATGCTATTTAGAATGTCTTGTTTATCGAAAAGTTTATTCTGGTTCGGTGGTATTGGTGCATCATTGATTCTTGCTTATGGTTCAATTTATTTATTCTTTGCTAATCGTGATGACGATGAAGATGATTTTGATGATGATGATCAATTTAAATTCAATAAAACTGGTCATGTAAATGATAAAGATCAATCAAATAAGCTTTTCGTGCATATTGATAATGGATCAGATACAATGTCGGATGATTCATCAATTGAAATTATTTTGCTTTATAAACGTGTTCCAAATTCGGTATTCGAACAGAATGATTGTTTCATACAGATTCAATATCAAACTGATACGAAAATTAAAGAAGAAAAAATTATTGATAATTCATTCGAAAGCGACACTGAACAAGAATCGATTGGTGGTACAACGGTCAAATATCGAAATATTTCAATACAAGGATTCCATAAAAATGTTATGCAAGCATCACGTCGTATTGATCAACTAGTCAGATCCGTCCCTCCAATTGAATGTACAAAATTCGAAATTCTATCAACTAAATTGCCATTAATAATGGGAGTGAATGGCAGTACGATTAAATCGTTGACAAAATGTTCTGGAGCTGAAATTCGAATCAATCAACCTGCTTATAATAAACAATTTATCACTGTTGATATTTATGGAACTCGTGATCAAATTAAAATGGCATATAATCTTATCGAAGAATTGTTGGATCAAGAACGACGATTTCATCGACAACAATCGACATCTGATCAAATTCAAATAATCAACCTTGATGATGACGGGGATTATGATATGCTCAAATCATTCGAAACATTTGAATTGTCCAGTGATTTAGCCATTATGGGCGATAATCATCCCCAATATATTCAACAACAACAGCTAACAACCAATGATTCATCATTAGAGACATTCATTCAACATCGAACATCATTATCAATGGAACGAATTTCCTATATGACTGAATCATTGGATGTGATCGATGATCATGATCGTTCAATTTCGCCATCAATATTGCCACCAGTTCAAGTGTTTGTTTCATATATCGATAATCCTAGCTCATTCTATGTGCAAATCAATGAAAATAGGCGTAGCATCCGTCTTGATGAATTGATGGAAAAAATGAAAAAATTTTATTCAAATATCGAGAATCAATTAGCATGTCGATGTGATCGTCGTACGTTGAAAATAAACGATATTGTCGCAATAAAAGTTGACGATGATAATTCAGCTGAAAAATTTTATCGTGGTTATATCATAGATTGTTTGGATGGGGAAAAATTTTCAGTATTCTATGGTGATTTTGGAATCACTGCTCAACATTCGGCAAATTCTTTGTTCTATTTAAATGATAATTTTCTCACTCGATTACCATTTCAAGCTATTCGATGTTCACTTAATGATATTGATCACATATCTCCAAACGAATGGTCTGCCGAAGAAATTAAATATTTTCGTGAATTAACACGTGAAGGTTTATGGGAATCGGTCATCAGTATTCGATGCCATGAATATCGTAACGACAATAATAATGATGGACGGCGAATATTTCTGGTAGAAATGTTCAGTAAACTACCTCATCAATTGATGACAAAAAATGTTGGAAAGAAATTGTTGCAATTACTTAATCGACGAAAAAAAAGTATTCAACTCAATGTATGAATAATGGAATAATACCCGTACCAAAAAATACAAAAAAATCGTTCAAATCCTTGAATTAATTGTGATATATTAGGATACTTGACTCGAATTTTTTTTCGTGACTTTTTTCAATCTTATTATCTTGTTTAACTTAATTTTCTCTAATTATTTGATTGATATTTTTGTGATAAAATAATTAAAAAAAATTTTTCAAAAAGAATCATGTTGGTGTTTGACCCATTAGGTTGAAATAGTTGAATTTTTCAATGCTTTTCTGAAATATTTTTTTCGATTTTTTTTTTGGTGAGACACATGGCTAAAATGGAAGATATTTCCAAATCAGATCAAGCTATGATAGAAGATTTGAATAAACCAAACATTCTTGTGATGCCTGGCGATTGTTTACTCAAACATCAAAGCGATATTATTGCTTCAAATGGTACATATTTGAAAAATGGTTTGATTTATTCATCCGTAGCTGGTTATATACAAATAACCGAACAACAAGAATCACATCCTGGAAATGATGATGATGATAATAAAGATATGATAACAAAAACAATGGAAGAAAACAATAGCTCATCATCATCTGTGCAGAATCAAATTACAAAAAGAATCGTAAAAGTTATAAGACCTGGTGATCGTCAAATACCATTTTTGGAACCAGGTTCAATTGTTACATGTCGTGTAATAAGAATAACATCATCATTTGCTAAATGTAGTATATGCTGTATTGAAGATCATATACTTAAACAACCATATACTGGTTTAATTCGTTTGGACGATATTCATGATGGTGTTTCATCACAGCAGCAACGTTTACGACAAGTGAATCGTTGTTTTCATCCAGGTGATATCATACTTGCACGGGTTATAGCAGCTGGAGATAATCATCAATTCTTATTGACAACCGCTGCACCAGAACTTGGCGTTGTAGTTGCTGTAAACGATTGGAATGAACCAATGATACCATTGAATTCGGCTGAAGTTTTGTGTCAACGAACTTTTTCGAAAGAAACAAGAAAAGTGGCCAATATTGATTTGATTGCCTAAATCTGAATCTCATTTCATGTAAATATTTACATGATGAATGAATTAAATTCAAATGACTGTTTATATAAATCTTATTCATCATCATCATCATCATCATCATTAATTATCTATCTGGATGCAAACACGTCAAATTAAATTTATTGAGTGAATTGATTACTATTTACTCCCTATGGATTGAATTAATTAATTTAAAATTAACAAGAAAAACAGAATCCCCATTGAAAAACTTGGCTTGAATCGATGCTATATACAGTAGTCAAGAAGACAGTATTCTCTGTGTATTCGTTCTATATATATTCTCTCTATCTATACAAGCCAAATTCTTTGTCACTGACTACTCTTCAATATATCTATGCTCAAACGAATTGAATTAAATCGTTACTTTTTTTTTTTTCGGTTAACTCAAGTTTATTCTGAAGTATGTCTCTATTGGTGTATAAAAGTCGAGTGTTTTTTTCTTTGATCCCTTTGAATCCCGTTTAAAACACCATATAAAAGACACATGCACATAATGATGATTCATTGAAACAATTGGACCATATATTTACTTGTTCAACAACTTTGAAAGAATTTTTGGACTTTGAAAAAAAAAATTTAAACTTTAAAAAACCCGTTCAATTTGTCATCTTATCAATGTCTTCGATTAATCATTTGATAATGCAAACAAAAATGGCTCTAATTAATTCAAATGATGGTGATACTGTCGCAGTCACCGTCGCCGGTGATGATGATTATCATGATCATCATTTTGTAACATCATTAGCTAAAGCCACAATCGCATCATCATCATCTATAAATCAACCAACGATGGATGATGCTGGTAACCATAACAATCAACAACAACATATCGAACAATCATCATTTGTACCGAATGAATTGATAGCAAAAAGTTTTGCTAAATATTATCCAGGTAAATAATAAAACAGATGACCAGAATATTTAATCATTTTTTTTCGTTTTTTATTTCCATTTTAGAGGAAGCAAACTTTTGGATGTATGCCATGATTGTATTAGGATTGGCTTTTATTGTATTTGTTGCCATTACTATCTATAAACTTTGCCAACCAGAAAAAGATGGCCGTTCATTAAAACAACAAAGATCTGGATCTGTACCTGGAACGATGACTGTAGGTCCACCGCCGACGACAATTGTTTCCTAAATAAAAAAAAATTCTGGATTCTGGACCAAAAAAAAAAAAATTTTTTTTCGTTCGATTCATTCAAATCGTGTCATATCGCACATGGAGTTTTTTTTCTTTCTTTTGTTTTAGTTTTATTTTTGTTCGTTGATTAAGTTATAAATAAAAAAAATGATTTTGTTTTCGAAATTAAATTCGCATATCAAAAATGATCAAAAAAAAAATTCTTGGCTATGAGTTAAAAGCAAAAAAAAAAACTGAGTGCTGAGCGAGTCAATCTTGATGGCAGCCAAACATTCTTTTTTTTCAAGCTAAAAGATCAGGAGTTGTATTGTTATCATGATCGATATTGGAATGTTCATCGGTGATGATCAGATTTTCTTCTTGGCTGTTGTTGGTATTTTCATCCACATTATTCGTTGATTCTTGTTGTTGTTGGATGGCACTATGACAATTGGCCAATAAATCAGGTTTCGATTCTGAGCTGCTGAAACCATTTACTGTTAGATCAATCTGTTGTTGTTGTTGTTGGGAATGTTCAAGTACATTTGATTTTTTCGTAGTAAAAATGGCCATATTCATCATATCTAAACGTTCAACTAAACGTTTACGATTATCATCATTTTCAATGATTGATTGGAATGTTGTAAGATTTGAAATATTTTCGTCACTAAGTAATCGTCTATAAAAATCCATTACAAATTCTGAATCAACATTTTTCAATCGCAATAAAAATTCAATTCGATCCTGATCTTGCCATTGATTCAAGAACCATTCTTTGAATAATTTCATTCGACATTCAAATATTGATGGTGGTTTTTTGGAAATTTCTTATGGTTTGTTTTGGAGAGAAAAAAAACAATTAAAAATTTAATTACAGACAAACATCATCGAAAACTTACTTAACGATTCGTTCATATTATCAGCTAATTTGGAACTTTCATCATTATTATCAATTAAAGTTTCACCATTGGTTTCTTTTTCCAATTTTGAACCATTTTGTTTGACTGTTTTTTCCTGTGCACCATCATTGTTATCATCGTCGTGATTGGAACCAGCAAATAAATTTTGTTGGAAAAAATTTCGATAAATTGGACACAGATGATCCGAAAGAAAATCTTGTCGTTGAAATTCACTAAATTCAGCAAACCATTGTACTAAATAAAGGATTTGTTTGTCTGAATTTAAATCGTTAAATTTTGACATAGCTGCCGCGTGTGATGAGCACCGCACCACTTTAGTCCAGTTCGAGTTGAATGATTTTTTGGGATGAAAAAAAATTGACAAGTGTCCGCGTTGGCCGGTTAAGATTTTTTTTTTTTATTGATGAACAAATTTAGATTTTCTATTACACACACACACACAGTTGACCAAAAATATTCAGGTAGCAGGTTGTTTTCTCTCTCAAATTCGTTTTGTTGTTGTTGAGATCTCTAATGTTTTTTTTTGTAACTCCCTCTTCATTCATTTAAGAAAGTATATTACAAGCAATAAAAAAGAAAAATTAAAAAAAAGAGAAAAAACCAGCAATAACAATAAAAAATAATAATCCAGATTCAAAAAAAAATCGATATATAAAAAAAATTGACCGATCCTTGAGAAAATATATAGCGATCAATTAATTCTTGTTTTCCCCGAAAATCCCCGAATCAAGACAGCCATGTCTTGTTCATAGACAATGTATCCAATGGCAACCAGTTTCATCATCGATCGAATTGAATACACGACAGAAAAAAAAACAAAACTTCAATATATGCCAAAACGACTACAACCGTGCATGTTGTTTTTAGAAGTTGAGCTGGAGGCATATTGTTATTGACCAACAAAAACAGTGTATTTTGTTGGTGGGTTACTACTCTCAACAAATGGGCATTTTTTGGGGTGACTTTGTCTGATCAAAGTAAGGATCGAAAGTCAAAGAAATACAAAATGGAGGAGCTTAATACGCGTACATTCCATGTACAGTAACGTATTTTTGAACGTGTATTTCAAATATTTAATTTCGCTCCAAATTTTTGTCTCGCGGTGATGTTCCCGGCAACTTTTCTTTTTCTGAGCCTTTTTTGATTTTGAAGCTAATATATTATGATTAACATAGTAACGTCTTCGATGATGAACCCCTAGTCAAATTTAAAGACAATTCCATTTCATTTCTGATTTTTATTTTGTAAAATTTATGACTAACAAATTAAAACCAAAATAAATAAATAAATAAAAGTGGACTATCAAATTAAAATACAGTTTCAGTGATGTTTCGAACTTTCCCTGAATTGATTATGTTCAAAACCATTAAACTGATGTTTTCCTTTCATTTTCCATTCTGTGGAGACTTAATGTTTGAAGCCACTACATTTTGGCCATAAATCTGGAAATTGCAGAAGTATGCTGCTTTTCAAAATTCATGGTAAATATGAATGTCAAAACATGCTTACTTCATTTAGTCAAATGTATCTAGTTGCGAATTGTTTGTGATTTGAACCAACATGGAAAAAATAAGTCAAGTGCCGAAATAAATATAATCCGGCATTCGTCTTTGGTTACCATATACATTGAGTTATGGATATTGAACAAGGCCAATTCAAAATTCAGAATTTAGAAGTCTGACATTCATTGTGGTCTAATCATCTTGAATGTCTTCAGTCACTAGATAAAGACAAGATATCATCCAATTTCGCAATGGATTTTAGTTTTCTGTTTTTGTCCATCGCAAGCACGCCATTCCTAAAATGTGAGCTGATGCCTTTCAATTTCTGAATGCGGTTTTATATTGATTTTTCAAAAGAATTTAGTGATTTATTATGTTTGGTTTTCCTTTGTCTTTCTATGGCCATGGAATGAAGTTTCCTTTTATTAATAGAGGCTGAACTCAAGGGGTCCGATTCTTTAATACTTATCCATTTGATCGTGAAATCAGCTTCAACGACTCATTTCGGTTTCATGGTTAAATCAAAGCCAAATCTTATGCGATAACAAGTTACATCCGATAACAATCGTAGATACTCTTGTTTATTATCTATAAAAGTGAGTTTATCATTATAAGTATTCTATCGGCAGAAACGAATTTCGTTCTTCCTCTTTTTAAAGGTACCAGCTATTTTTTCAACAAACAATTTCATATCAATGGATATCTTTTAAAAATTCCCTCAATCAAGAACAATCTGCTGAACTGCTGGGCTCCTCCATCCACTAAAACTATTACATTTTGTAGGCTGATCTAAACTTCAATTCATTTGTCGTCAGGGGATTTTCGCCCTTAAAATTTTCTTTGACTTTTTCTGAAAATAATATTAGTTACATTTCATGAGATAACAATGTATCCAATGGCAACCAGTTTCATCATCGATCGAATTGAATACACGACAGAAAAAAAAACAAAACTTCAATATATGCCAAAACGACTACAACCATTGTATGTTTTAGAAGTTGAGCTGGAGCGTATTTATTTATTGACCAACAAAAAAAAAACATTGTATTTTGTTAGTGTGAATTTCTATCATCCATCAGAAATTTTGGCTCTGATTTCAAAGTTCAAGGTAAGATATTGCAATTCTTTTTCATTTGAAGAATTTTACTTCGAACATCAATGCATAGCAAATGAATAAAAAAAACAAGTTCCATCTGAATTCGAGCAAATAAAAAAAAAAGTTCCATCCAATACACACACACTGCCACCACAAATTATCGATGATTGATTGAATGATTGTTTCCGCTGAGTGAGAAAAATAATAAAAAAAAGTTGGAGTAGTCAATAGCTGTGTATTTTTGGTTTTTGTTTTGCTATTTGATTCAAGTGTCTTTTTTTTTCTTTTACTTATTCGCATGTACATGTATACGACGTTGTTTTCATTGAAATTTTCAACTTGTATTTGTGTGACATGATCAACATTGAAATCAATGGATGATACAATGTCATAAACGCTCGTACATTCAATAAACAAACGACTGTACAACATCCTTACTCATCATCATCATCATACCCATAATTGAAAGAAAGTGAGCAAAAAAAAGCTGAAAAACTTGAATCTTTTTCGATTTCTATATACAGAAAAATCGAAAATCACGTTCTATTTATTAATTGGTGTGTAGTACCTGATTTTTTAAATCATTTGCTCTATTATTAGTTGGATGATTCGAAATTCGAATATCAACTTTTTTGTCCTTATTATTACTTGGGTCATCTAAAAATTTTTCATTTTTTTTTGTTCATTCATTATAGTAATTGTCCATCAGTGATAATTGGTCATTTTTTAGGCTCGTTGATCATTTTATTAGCCAATTCTTCGAACAAACAACAAATTTCGAAAAAAACTAAAAACGGTATGTATCTATGAATCATTAATTTTTTTTAAATCAATTCAAATTCATTGTCATATACTACTACTACTTATATACTTATATTTATGAGAGCCAAGTCAAGTTTGTTTATCTATTTAAACAAATTTTTTTTTTTCATTCTTCACAAGAAAAAACATTCGACATCATTTTTTTTACATTTTTGTGACACATTATTTTCATTCAAACACAAAAAAATTGACAATTCATGATTGTATACAATAGTCGATTGTGGAATGATAACATAACATGAAAAAATTTCTTTTTTCATTCATATCATTAGTAGTTGATTGACAATTGTTGTCATTTATCATATTTGCATCATATCCGTGATAAGCTGCGACAGCTTTTGTTGAATAATCACCATTCTGTTTTTCTTCGAAACCCTTTACAATCACATTTTTGTTTTGTTGATTCAACTTGATCTCAGCTTGTATAATAATTTTTTCCCATTTCGATTTGTGTAAACAAGGTTTGTGCTATAGATTTTTTGTTCATATTTTTTTCGATTTAAAAAAAATCATCCTATCCACTGGCACACATTATCAATGTTGCCATATATATTATATTTTATTGATTATGTAACTCATTTCAATTACATATAGACTTTTTTTTGTTGGTTTTCTTTTTTTTCGATGAAATTTTTTTTTCGTGGAAAAAAATCGATTCCAATATAAAACTATTGATCCACATTTTTTATTATACGACAATTGAAATTTTTTTTTTGTTGTTGTTTTTAAATAATATCATTGATCGAAAGTGACCTATCGATTGATGGTTAAATTGTCGTTTAGTTTTTCAAAAGAAAAAAATTTACTGTCATTTGTTTAATTACTACTTTAGTTTGTATATTGAAATTTATATGTTTAGGCCTTGGTTCTTTTGATATAAAAACGACCCTATCAATTTTCAATAATATTTACTTGGTAGTTGTTTGTGCAGTTCAATCACCTTTATTTTTTGGTTTTTTTTCTGGTAAGGATTGCCTTATTTACTCACACGTTTCACACATATATTATTTGTGTATGCAATGCACAAATAATATGTATCCAATATCGTTAAACGTGCGTGTTCATTATCCATAGTATAAGCAAATTGCTTTATTTTCTTTTCTTTTTATTTCACCATGGTGTGTATGTATCCATATTCTATGGATCCTGATTTAAATCATTTTAAATATTATTTGGTTGGCCATTGCACTCTAGAAATGGTTTTGTTTCCATAGGTTAGTTGATTGGTATTATTCTTTCGCACTATAATATCAGATTGAACAATTATTGTAATTGATTTTATGGTTATTAAATTACTCGAAAACAAAATCCAATTTATTTTTATTTTCCATTTTAATGTATAAAATGGACGAATAAATAAGTTCAAAGGTTTCACAGTACATTCGATATTTGTTAGGCATATAAATTTTGGTTTTATTCGTTTTTGAATTTTAATTCTTTTTTTTGTTTTATTTGATTTGATTTAATCACATCCTCCTATAACCACCTTGGAAAATGCCATCTGCGAAATCATCAAAATCAGTATATTCATCAAGTGGTGGTGGTTCCAGTGTTATAATCGTACAGAATAAATCACTAATGGCTACCTGTGGTGGAGCTTTGGTCAAATTGGCCTTGGTATTGTTTAACCTGGCCTTATTGGTAAGTTTTTACTATATTTTCCACTATAGAATAAATTATTTACATTTTTCTTTTTAAAAAATAGTGTATCGGAATTTTTCTCACCTATACTGGCTTTTCAATTTTCGACAAAAATGATCAAGATTGGGACGTTATTGTTCAGACAAACTTCAGAACAGGTTCCATTGTTCTGATTATTTTTGGTATATTGATCGCTTTGATTGCCGCTATTGGCGCCTTTGGTGCTTGTCTTGAAAGTAGCACTCTATTGGACGTTTATGGTTATATAATTTTCTTTTTGGTTATTGGAGAAATCGTCCTGTTTTATTATAGCTTCAAATACAAAGATGAGTTAACCACAAACCTTGAAACGGGCATAAAGAAAGCCATACAACGATATCCTGGTGATTCAAAATTAGCTTATGGCCTTCAATTGATACAGAAATTTTTCCGTTGCTGTGGTTTCGAAGGTCCCAATGATTATCCTTCTGGTGATCTTCCTGCTAGTTGTTGCGATCAAATGTCCAAAGTATCGGTACAAAATCCAGCAGCCAGTTGTCCACGAAATCAGATAATTTTTGATCATGGATGTAAAAATTCACCATTCATTGAATCAACATTGGGTTCGGTTACATATGCTGCATATGCATTGATTCTACTACAATTAATCGTTATTTTAATGGCTTGTTGTCTTTCACGAGATCTTCGAGCTATTTAAAAATATCGAAGAAGCACTGAATTTTTACCAATAAACAAAACACGCTCATCATACACCACATATAAACTATCATCATCACTTTGTTTTCTTCATTTTTTTTCCTTTTAACATACTCTATATTTTTATTTATACCAAATAACAAGCAAGCAAAGCAACAAGTTTAACATTTTTAAAATTCATAATTTCACACACACGTTTTTTTCCACTTATATATGATGATGATATTACGCATTGAATGCAATTTGTAATCTGTTGACATGATGATGTGAATGGCTCTGAACACATTTTTTTTTTACAATCTATCATCTTTGTTGTACACACACACACACACATGGAACCAATGGAATGATTGATTGATTGGTTGCCATTTTAATTTCGTTTTGTTTTTCAAATTTTTATTTTTAAACAACAAAAAACAAACTTTAAAATCATCATATATAATGCACTATTATACGCACATACTAACAAATTTACATGAATATTAATTAATTATTAATTGATTGATTAATACAACAAATAAAATGATAAATTGAAAATGAAAAAATAAAATAAAATAAAAATAAAAATAGTGTCTAACTAGTGGTTATCGATTATCTATATATGTGAATTAACAATATTAAATGGATTCAAATTAAATGTTTTTTAACAATGTTCAACGCTTTATCCACTTCATCACAGATTTTCATTCCTAATCCTAAACGTTCATAACAATCTTTTATTGATGGTATATTTGTTGGTTGAAATAATTTTGTTCGCATACCATTCATTGATTTTGGAATCAATTTTGGATCGACATATTTTGTCAGATCTGCGTTTGATATGAATGCCATTCGTTTGCGTATTTTTTCATCAACTATGTTGAGAAAAATATTTGTCACAGTCCTTAATAAATATGGTTGATCAACGAATAAAAACAATCGTACTAAACCAGGATAATGTTGTGGAAGGGTTAGAAGCATTCGTATTATATCTAATTGAAAATTGCGTAAACCAGCATGACGAACATTGGCCACTATTGTACAGCCATTACGTCCAGCCACTTTCTCTAGTTGTTCAGCAAGATAAAGAGTGAATCGATATGCCAAATCTATAATATCTTTTGGTATGGAAACATTTTGTACTGTTACCCAATATAGAGCACGTCCTTGATGATCATGGCCATGAATTTCTGCACTGGTGAATGTCCATATTTCTTTAAAAAAATCTGTTTCACGAATTTCATTCACACGTTCAGATTTTCTCCATTTCAATGTTTTTACGATCGCATCATAAGCTTTATCTTCATTATGATGATATTCTTCAATATAACGTTCTATTTGCCATGAATCCGTACGAATTCTTTCGATATCATTCGGATGATATAACGTTTCATTTTCGCCAAATTCTCGTTCCAAACGTTCACGAATTCTTTCGATCATAATCGATAAATCGATGGAATTTGATCCGGAAGGCATCTTTGGTAGGAAGCTTTTGGTCAGAATACAAAAAATTGATATCAATCAAATCAAATTAAAAAAAGATAATCCAAGCCACCGAATTATATATACTGCTGCTGCTGCTGTTGTTGTTAATTGATTATTTGTTGGTACACAAGGATCCAACGAAGAAAAAATAAACGAATACACAAGTGAATGAATTTTTTTCTTAGAATCCAACCAAATTATATATACTCCAAAAATATTTGGTTCACAGGTACTCAAGGATCCAAAAAAATAAACGAATTTCTCTTGTCATCATAATCATCATAATGTTTTAATCAATCAATCAAGTACAATAATTATTGATTGATGATTGATTAATGTGATGAAATGAAATAAAAGAAAGTTTTTTGTTGTTCAAACAAATAAAAAGAAAAATCTCAAACGATTAGTAGTGATTGATCACATACACATACACACAAGTGTTTAATTAGGATATTTAAACATTGGATGATAATAATAATCAGTAGAAAAAACACTATCATCAAAAAAAATCTACTAGTCTATGAGGCTTTCTTGTTTAAATTTCAATTAAAAAAAAAACTTTTGATTGTTTTGTGTGTGTGTAAGTGAGTGTTTTCTTTGTAAATTTATATTTGTTTTAATTTTTTTCCAATTAAATTCAAAAAAAACGCAATTTTTTTGAAAATATGAAAAAATACAAATTTTAAAGGTTGGCGAAACCACCAACACATCAACATTTCGTGTGAAAGTAGTTAGAAAGAGAGTGTACAGTGAATGTGTGTGTGTGTGTGTGTGTGTGTGTGTGTGTGTGTGAATAGTAAGCAAATTTATTCCCCCTTGTCAATGGTTAATAATAATTGACAAACAAGAAAACTTGATGATTTTTATTTTTTGATTATAAAAAAAAAATCAAATGATTATATGATTCGATTATTGGTTATCAATTCACGTGAAAAATTTCAACAACTTATTACTTATTTGTGATAGACAAAAATTTTCTGATTTCAAAAATCATTCGTTTGGCCGATGTTAATTAATTGTTCCGGAATTCAGAAAAAAAAAGAAAATTCGAAAATGATTTTCCATAGAAATTCAATTGTCGTTCATAACAATGGATAATGGATCTCTACTAATATATAATGAATGTTTGTATTTTGAAAAATCAATTGAAGAATCGTAAAACTTTTTTTTTTTCATTTCAATGAAAAATTACTATAATACTACAAGTATACAAAAACAGCAACAAAACGATCGGCCTAGTTTAAGGCTTAATGTTAATGTTGATTCATCATTGAATCGACGATCCAAATCATCATCATCATCACCATTAACGGCAACAAGATCAAATTATTCACCATTTTTTAGTCTAAATTATAATGCTGAAAGATTATTTCCTTTGAGAAAAAAGATTTATATTGGAAAAATAAAACATATCCACAACAGAACTAGTGATGATGACGATTATTATGATGATGATGATGATTATCCTGAACATTTCAAATGGATTGATTATGGTAATATGAAACCAAAACAGATTGAAGCAATTAAATCGTTTTGTTGTAATCAATCAATTCTGTTTGTAAGTTGTTTATTCTCTAAAATATATTAATGGCCATTTGATTTTTTTTTCTATTCAATTACAGATTTTAGCATTAATTATTTACGCATTATGGCATTCAGTATTCTATAAAAATCTCAATGATTTAGATCGACAAACAATTGAATTTTGGTTTACGGATTTTAATGAAATTCAAACAAAAAATTTGATTGAACAATTTAAACATCAACGACGTCTTTCTAATGATAAAATTGAATTGTTTGATTCATGGATCATAATGATCGTACTGTTTAGTAGTATGATTTTCATATTCGGAATGGTTGCAATGTGCTATCGGAGCCATAATAATACCAGAGCGATGAAAATCTATCGATGGATTGTTATACCAATGTTGATTATAATAATCATTGCATTACTTGTATTCACAATGTTTCTATTTAAATTTTGGATTCGTTTTGCTAATGGATCTTCCATAAGATTCATTTATGATCATTATAATGATCATGATAATCATCGATGGCTAATGATTTATGTTCATCATACAAATCAATGGCTCAATTGTTGTGATTGGTTTTATCTGTTACATCAACAAGTTTCTCACAACAACAACAACAACAACAACAAACAACATACAACATGGACATTCAATGAATGATACAATTCCATTATCATGTTGTAAAGAACTGAATCATTATGATCATTCATGGAATTCATTGAAATATTTTTTTCCACAACAACAACAACAACAACAACGACGACAGCAACAGAATAATATAACGAATAATTCATCATCCATTGAAAATAATAATAACAATGATGATGATAATGATAAAAATCTTTGGTGTTCGGCGGCAAAAATTCTACCATCATTTGAAAGACAATGTGCACTATCACCAATGATTGTTATAATGATTATTTTACTTGTTGTAACACAATCGATACTTATTATCGATATAAGTCGATTGGTTTCCATCAGTATTGATCTATAGATGGAGAAAAACACATCCATTTATTGTATGTTTTTTATTAATTAATTAATTCAAATATATCGTCGACAATAAACACGAAAACTAGATTAACAATAAATAATTGAAGTATTACGTTCATTGATAACCATGTCCAAAAAACATTGGTTAATACGTGGTAATAAATTGAACTAATGCATGGTTTTTTCAAATTTAATCTTTTCTTTTTCAATCTCTTTTTTCCAGATCCATCTGCACCTGCATCATCTTTGATATGACATTTTACAATTTTATTCATTTTCCATTTTTCAATTTTCGATTCCGTCAATGATTCACAACAAGTCAATGGAATATTATTCCTATTAAATTGTTTTTCTGGATTATTCGAACCACAACAATTTAATAGATTTTGTGCCATTTGTAGCCAATATGATGAAAGGCCATCATTGAAATTATGGCCAATAATTACATAACGTAATGATGTTATGAATCGCCGTTGAAGATAGATTTGTTCACTCATTATTGGATCAAGTAGATAAATGGTGATCACCATCGAGAATATTGACGAAAATTGATGCAATAATTCCATTGTTTGTCGTCTATAATAAGCAAACAGACCAACAACACCTACAATGATGTAGAATGATGACAGCATTATAATTCGATTGAAAAGTCGATCAATATAAAAATCAGGCTTTTCATTACGCGCTACAATCTTCATAGCCCGATGTGGATCATTCATTAAGATTTCAAATATTTGTCTTGATCGCAATTTCATCGCCAATCTAATGATGACAGTTACCAAAAGTAACAACGTGTTGATACCCTAAAATGAGAAATTCAAACAAACAGGAACAAAAATTGATGAAAAGCAATTTGAAACCACTGCATAGTGCTAACCATCCACATTATATTGATGACAATTATATTTTGTCGTTGAAAGATTTTATTCTGTATGATGCGCCATATTCTTTTTTTATTGAATCGTAATTTCATTGTCATTTGTGAGAAGAAAAAATTTGGTTCATTCAATTTTTACAATTTATACAACACGTATTCGTAATATTACGAATTTCGAATTTTTTCCATTGTTATGTTAAATCTGTTTTTTTTTCGTCCATGGTTAATGACGTAATGATTGGCTCTTTGTGATGACGAATCATTTTTTCCTTTCCGCATACATTACCTGTTGTTGTTATCACAGATCTCTTGGCATATAAAGTTCCGTTTTAATGCGTAAAAAATTTGTCAAATAAAAACATTATTATTATTATCGTAACGCCTATAATCTCAAATTTTGTAAACCTGGAAACAATCATGTTTTCATCACAAATCCATTATTCCATTTGATGATTCAGAGAAAATAATAAACGCCCGACAACCAAAACCATTTTATTGTTTTGTTTCATATAGAAATTGTCATAGATACTACTAATTCATATCATTTGAAAACTTTGAAAAAAAAACTGTTGCTTCTAGCCAATGAAGAGAAGGGGGTGATCTCTACGACAAAAACAATTGCAAATTTGCAAAAAGTTGATTTTTCATCAAAATAATCGGAATCAGTAATTGAAAAACAATTGAAAAATGCATAAATTTCTTTTATAATAAATGATTGATTGATTGATTGAATGGCTGGTTCGTTTTTTCATATTTCGTCATTGTCAAAATCAAACAAGTACATTTTGGTTATGGTGGTTACCACTGATATGAGAAAGAAAGAAAAAAAAATGATGATGATGACGACGATGATGATGATCAATAACCAAGGTTACCAACATACACACACACACACACTCGACTAAACAACAACAACGACAACAAAAATATCTGAGGCATCTTGTATATTTATCACGTATATGATGTGGATGATGATTAGATTTTATTTTCCACCAACAAACACACACACCTAAAATCCATTCTACTATATTGCGTTTTTTGATGAAAATCGTGGTTGTTGTTTTGTAATTGTGTGTGTGTGTGTCTAAGGTTTAACTGATAAATTTTGCTTGTAATACATACAGTTCCCATTTTTCTATCATCCATCCATCCATTCTCTACTATTAATATAACTGAAAGTCTAGATAAATCATCATCATCTTTGTGCTGCTGCTGGCTAGTCTATTTTGAACACAACATAGCACAGTGACTTGGTGACTAAAAAAAAATTGTTTTAATCCTCTTATGATAATTGTCAACAACATATAATAAATCAATTGGTATCGGTTTTTTTTCATATCGATCTCATCATCATCAGTATTCATCTGGCAATCAATCATTAAAGTCAATCATACGATTCTTTGTCCATCATTAACTAAAATTTTGAATCCAGAATAAATAAAAATGGCCAAAACTTGTGGTGCTAGTGTAATCAAATTGGCATTAATCATCATCAATCTAGTGTTTCTGGTATGATGAAACAAACATTTTTTTGCTGAATTTAATATTCCATTATTTTCTTTCTATTAGGTACTAGGTTGTGTGGTAATCTATGTTGGTTATAATCTAGTAGATATAAATATTCAAGCACCAGGAGCATTCACATTGGCTGATATAAATTTCAAATCAATATCATGGGTAGTATTAGCAACTGGTGTCATTATTGTATTAATTGCCGCATTCGGTTTCTTTGGATCATGCTGTGAAAGTTCGGCAATGTTGAATTTGGTAAATTATTCAAATTGATTGATTTCAATCGATATATTTTCATTTTTTTTATCACTTTTACCATTTAGTATGGATTTTTATTAATCGCTTTGATTGCTGCCCAAATCTATGTTGTCGTTCGTTCGATAAAATCCAATGATAACGTTAGTGTACAAGATAAGATATTTTTTTGATATCAATCTCTTCATGCATTATTTATTTTATTTATAGATTGAAGAAAAAATCAGAACTGGAATCCTTGATGCTATTAATAAGATGAATAACAACACCAAAACAAAGTTGGTTCTTCAAGAAATTCAGTCAAAATTAAAATGCTGTGGTTGGAATGGTGTAAGTGATTATAAGAAAGAAATATTGGCCAGTTGTTGTGATCAATGGAAAGATGGAGATGATCCTGGTAAATTGTGTGATGGTAGTTCTTATGAAGATGGGTGTAAATCGAAATTCGAATTTTTGACCAAATATCTTGGAAGCTCTACGGCAATAGGTATCGTGGCCATTCTTATACAATTGGTGCTGATATTTGCTGCCTGTTGTTTGGCACGAGATTTTTAATGGACTATTTGATTATTTGATCATCGATGAACATCAAATCCAATATAACCCTTTCGTTTGTCTTTTTTTCTCATCAATAATTTTGTTAAGAATAATAATTCATCAACCATTGCTACTTGATTTTGTTTTCTTTGATTTACATTAAATCATCATTAATTTGATATATCAGATTGTTTTTAAATACGAATGACAAAAGATTCGCTTTAATTATTTTTTATGACAACTCTTTGTTGGAATTGTCAAAAATTGGTTGTAATTTCTGTCAATAGACGGCGGCACTTATTTCGAAAAATTCAAAATGAAAATAGTCGATCAATCAATTTTTTTTTGTGTTTTTTAGATTCAATTTAGATTTAATAAAATAATATAATTTTTCATACTATAATCCCCCGGATAGTCCAATTCAACATCATCGTATATTGAAAAGAGGCTTACAATTATTGAGAATATCAACTGGTGGCCATCATCATCTATTGGAGCAAAAGAAAAAAAAAACATTTACAATTGGCCATCATAAAAATATGATGATATAGCATCATCATCATTATTTGAAATATATAATGAATAATGATACAGCATTGAAAATGCACAAGAAAAAAAAATAGCAATGAAAAACTTTCAAACGTTTCAATTCAATTGTAAATAAATACCCAAAAATATTGCGATAAGTATCTTTTTTCAATATTCGATGTATTCACAATTGATGATGACCATGATTAACATGAAGAATACATTGAATTCATTCATAATGGATGCTATTTTTAATCAATAATCAATCAATATAATTTAATTACCATACGCTTTTCGCACATGGTTGATATAACAGCAGCTGTTTGATGGTGGATCATGTCAATTTTAATCAGCACAATGATTTCTATTTAATGATGACAGCTACTACGTTTCCTTATCTACATGTAATAAAATTTACATTCATTTTTTCATTTGGCAATTCATTATCTTACCTGTTGCAGGGGTACAACCTTTCCAGAAACAAAAACGAAATAAAACAAGCTTCAAAAAAAAGAACAAATCAAATCGGATGGATGATTTTTGAGCATTTCAAGGCCAGTGAACGAATAAAAAATGTCTTTTTTAAAAAAAAACGCAAAAACTTTACACGGAAATAATGAAACAATGTAAACGAAACGAAAGAAAATTGCTATTCGAATTTGAATGTGATGCAATTTTTGTTCAACAAACAACAAACAAACATCATCCAAATATAAAATGATGATGATATATTGGCTATATTCAAATAATACAATTCAAATGTCACGACAATAGACAAAATGAAAAAAATTTGAAAACAATCAAAAAAAAAAAAACAAAACAAAACAGAACAGAACAAACCAGTTCATTGTCGAATTTTTCAATCATTTCAAGAATAAAACAACAACAACAATGATGGAAAGTATCAATATTTATTGAAGAAGAAATAGTGATGATGATGATGACGATAATGGTAATAATAATCGATCCATTTGAATGTCTATTGTTCCTTTGTAAGAAATTTTCGTATTATTTACATTCAAAATGAATATTAAAAAAAATATATCAGGAAGGACAATTTGATTTGATCATCAATCAGTTTAAAATGATAAAAAAGTTTTTTTTTATTAAAATTGAAAAAAAACAGTCAATATTTCAAATCATCATCATCATCATCATTGAGCCAGTAAATAAATCAGAAAAAAAAATTCCAATTGATTTGTTTATTTATTCTATTATTGATTGTAGCCCATTTGACCCAATGTTGACAATCGGAATCTTCTTGAATTATTGGGAAATCGTTTAAAATCGGGTGCAAAATTCCTTACTGAATTTGTCGATGGAAATTGATCATGGTCGATACGATTATTTTCGATATTATTGAAATCGCTATATTGATGAGCATGATAAATATCATCATTTCGATGTTTATGAAGTTTTCGTGACAAATTCTTTTTATTTTGTCCATTTTTATTAATAATATCGATCAATTTTGAATCAATCATCTGTTTAGATGGTTGATTATCATCATTACTCAGATTACTATTGATCAAAGCATTTGTAACCGAATCAGCTGGAACCATTTGATTATCCAACAATACGAATGGTTGACCATTTTTAATACGTGACCATCTTGTCGACATGATACGTTTACGTAAAACATTTGGATCAACTTGCTGTTGGCCATTATTAGGCATCGATAGTAACCATTTCATTGATGATAATTGAAATCGATTGATTAAATTCGGAATATCTAAAGGTGGTGCTGATTGATTTGCTGTAGATGATTTTTTATCATAACTACTATGATGATAATTATCCGATTCAACTAGATTATTGTGGAATTCATCCAAATCTGAATATCGTTTTCTTTTCATATATCGATTATTATGATTTTCCATTTTTCGATTATGAATAATTCGTAATGGCCGAATAATAACAGCATTATTATGATTATGAAAAATTGATTCATTCGATGTTACGGATAAAAACAATGATGGAAATATAAACAAAAATATGAAAATAAAATAAAAACTATTTAAACATCGATGGTCAATAATCATTTTGAATGTTTTTATTCACTTGATGATGATATTCACATGAATTAGAATCACTCGCGAAAAAAACTTTTGGTGTGTTTTGTATTTGTTGATGATGATGGTAATGATTCGAGGAAAATGAACAAAAAATCAACCTGACGTGATATAAAGCTTTTGTGATAGTATATAAAAACACAATTGTCGAATAAAAAAGTGTTGTTGCTATTCACATTTCTTTCTTTCTATATTTTTTTTCTCAATAATTTGTTTCTATTTTCAAGATTCATCCAAGTTGTCTTTTGCGATGATGATGATATAATACTATTTTGGAATCATGGCGACATGTATGCATGCATACACACAAAAAAAAACAAGTTTGTCGTTGAAATGAATCAATGGCTTAAAAATTTGTGACGGAGGATACTGATGATGATGATATTGATGATACAATGATTTCATCACCACCAACAACACACATAATCACTTGCAAACATCTGAAACACAGACACACACACACACACACACACATTCACGGATACTACATCATATTTTATTCAATTTTGTTTTTTGATGAGAGAGAAAAAGAAGAAAAAACAACTTGAGATCATTATTCTATTCTATTCCATTCAAATATTCATTCATGCATGCATCACATACGGAAAAAAAATTTGATGAAAATTCTCATGTTAATGTGAATATAGACACTTTGTAGATGATAATGACGATTTATCAATACCATAAATCATACCGAAACACGGATCTGTGGGTAGATAAAAAAATCAATATATAGCCAGATTATGATAAAAAAAAAATTTTTTTTTAATCAAACCAAGTTCAATGCCATTGACCGATTGAACAATATATAACAAACAAATATTATGATGATGATAATTTTTTTTCGAATTGAAATTGACATTGAAAACAGACTAATAATAATAATAATAATGGATATATGCAAGAAACGAACAAAAAAAACTAATTATGTAAGATGATGATGATGGGCTTACGGCTTTTTTTTCTGCTGAATTAGTGCACAAATCATTGATCTGATCAAAATAATCACAATAACTGACACTGATTACAAATAACTCATTACGAATCGATTTGTAAACTATTTCTACACACACACAATGTTTTTTGTTACGATAAAACAATAAAAATGAAATTTGAAATTTAGGCTGATGAATTGAAAAAAAAAGAAAAATTGATCAAAAAAAAAAAAACAAAACAAAACATTAAACAAATTGCTCGAAGCTCAATAATAAGTGGTATATAGATGAAAAGAAATAAAAATTATTTTTTTTGTTGTTGTTGTTGTTGCTATTTCACAACTTTCAATACATGACGAAAGGTGGTTATTGAATCAAATCAAAATCACATAATGTATGTCATATAATAATAATAAAGAGTTATATATCGATGGAAAAAAATAACAGAAATGAAGAGAAATGAATCGAATGAACCGATTGATCCAACAAACGTTTAATTAATTTAAAGTAAATTAAATTTTATATTTTATTGTTTTATTTCTCTTATTTTGTTGTTGTTGTTGTTGAAAAACAACACCAAGACACGTCAACTTTATCAAATCTCAAACAGAAGAAAAAAAGGAATTCCGGTCGAGAGAAAAACAATTATATATCACAATTTATTTAATTTTTAAAAAAACATTAGTTAAAAGATTTATAATGGAAATTTTGGAACTTTTTTCTTGTTATTACACCAAGGTTGCATTTGAGTTTTATTATTTACATTGTTGATGTTGTTGTTGTTGTTGTTGTTTTTAATGATGATCGATGTTGATGGCCACCACCAGCATTATTGTTAACGGTATGCAAATAATCTTTTGTCATTTCGTAAATATTGAAACGATTTAGATTGATATTTTCATTTATTTTCAAACATTTATCATTGGTTACGGTAGCAGGCATCATTAATGTACAAATTTTCATCGATGTCGATGGTATTGACATTATGAAACGAGATGATATTGGTGCCATTAAGTTGGTTATTAAAGTATTTATTAGATGATGATTCGCAGTCGATTTCGAATCATCATCAGATTTTGATATTTTCTCTTCATTTGTGTTTGATGTCAATTGATTTTGATTATTAATTATATCTTTGTTGGTTGAATGTCAATATCATTATTATTATCGGTACTCGGATTTATATTGTTTTGTATCACGGATAAATCATATCGATTTCGATAACCATCAAATACTGTATTGAATCCTGGCCAAGAAATATGTCGATGTTGATGATTTTTTCCAATACGATTATCACGACGTTCACGACGCCAACTTGAACGATAAGATATTCGTTTAGGTAATCTACCACCCAATGATGCATCAGTTTTTGGTGGAAATCGACCGTAAAAATAAACCAAAAATAAGAAAAATGCAAATCCTATTTAAATGTAAAAAGTTAATTATGAGATTAGATTTCAATTAGAGAGAAATTTTCACTTACCAGCTAAAATTGGAATCAAACTGGCCATTTTGTATACCCATGCAAAACCAAAATAACGTGCATAAATCATTAGATCTTCTTCAATGTATGTACGATTTGTTTGTGGATCAATCATTTGACTACGATTTTTATATGTCCATTCAATCATGCCATCTCCTCGATGCAAAACAGTGATCGATTTCTGATCAGTAATACTACATACACGTTTGGTGTTGGCATCAACATATTGACCATAATCAGGTGGATAATAGATGACCTGATTTTTCCACATATTCAAATCCAACATCATTACAAACATAATAATTCCATAGTTGAACCATTTGCCTGATTGGGGTGGGTGAGAAAAAAGTTATATTAACAAAATGATCAACATGATGATGGCAAGTTGATACATACCAGTAATTTTAATTTCAACCGATGGAAATTTTAGTGATTTTCGAAAAAAATTCAATGTATACGATGGCTGTAGAAGACCAGGTAATTTTATATTAAGATCACAGACAAAATGAGGAAAATCCCAATCTTGCATTACAATCAATAGATCCATGACTAAAATGGATGAAGCAAGGAATGCACGAGAAAATTCGGTAGTTGAGAATAAGCCATACGTTAAACAATCCCAACAAATCACTTCGGTCAGAATGATTGTTATGACTGAAGCGGCAATGACTAATGAACCTGACCAGAATACCACTATACGAATGTTGGCATGTTTATACCAAAAAGCACGAAGACTGATAGCCCAATTTGGATAGAGATTATCTTGTAACATCATATCGGTAATCATCCAGGCAGTGAAAAAATCACCACACCATGTTCCACATGCAGCAATTTTCATAAACAATGAATAAGTTATGCCCATTTTTGATGTAATCAAATAACCATGATATGATGGATGAAACATAAGTAATAAAGTATTGTAAATTTGTGAAACAAAATAACATGATATAACCGATGAGATTAACATAATCATCCATGTACCACTTTCTTCACGAAACATTTTCAGCCGTAGTATTCGCCGTAAAACAATATGATGTAAAAAGAATTTGCCAATAAATAAACCAAGTATAATAGCTGACAAAGACATAGATGCTTTGATAAATTGCCATTCAAATTCTCGTGGATATTTGGTGAACAATAACGATATAACATTACCCAACACTGGTATCGAACATTCCATCAATGAATGACTCAATGGATCTTCGGCAAATATAAGAAAATTACAAAAAATAACAAAATAGGCAACAAATAAACGAGAATATGGATGTTGAAAATAATATCTAAGTGGAAAAAAATTGATTAGAATTCATTGAGAAAAATTATTCTAAAATTACCTAAAATCTTTACGCATATGAACTGAATATATTGATCCACTATCATTCATATTTATGGCATTCGATTTAATTATTTCTGGACAATGACATGTTAAAGGATAACTAGGGTCAAAGGTACCATACCAAATATTACATTTACGACAAAATTGTGGCCTATCATAATCATCATCGTCGTCGTCGTCACCATCTTCTTTTGTCATCATAAGGAATGATGATGATGAATTTTGATGAAACAATGATTCTTCTGTTGATGGTTCAATCAAATCATCCCGTCTATTATCACTATTGTTGTTGATGATGGATCTATAGACAATGTTTTTCGTTATTGGTCGTTGTTGATCGACTAAATGAAATACTGTACCAGCAGCAGCAGCAGCAGTTGGTGAATGATTATCAATACTGATAAAAGGTACCGATGATGAACTATGTAATAAATTGATGCATTTTTGTATCGACTCAGATTTCGTCGCTATGTGGCTATTATTATCATTCGAAAAACTTAATGGTTTTTGGCAGTTTAAACAAATTCGATACGTTATTGGCTGAATTTCATCAGATGAACAATTGCAATATGCCGTCGAAGTCGTTGGCTGATTGTTTGATACATAATGGCGATTATTATTGTTGTTGCTGTGGTCACCATCACCACCACTACAAACATCGTCATCATCAAAAGTATTATGGCTATTAATCAAAGAAAACGTGGAATCATCACAGTCACTGATGTTGTCGTCATTTAATGATAACAATTGTTGATTATTCGTTGAATCAGAATTATTATGATTAACATAATGATTGCATTTTTTACTAGAAACTGATGATGTTGTCGGTTGATTGATAAATAAATCGGCAGCTGAAAATTGTGGATCAAATAAAATTTGTTCCGATTCTGTTGGTGTTAAAATTTGTACAGATTTTTGTGTTTGTTCGATTTTATCATCATCATTATCATTGTTGTTATTATTACATTCTACTTCATTATCGATTTCGATTGATTTACATTGTTGTTGAATATCCATTTCATTGGAAATCGTTTTGGATTGTACCTGATTATTATGGTGATGATGATAAATGTCTTTTTTTCGATTTAAACAAAAATTATTATTCTTCTGGTGACTTTCGTCATCATTTAATTCATTCGAAACAATCGGATAATGAGATCCTTTATTATTATAAAATTGACTAGTTGAATGAGGTTGATGATGATTACCAAGATTGATTGATTCCATGTAACGGTTGCTTTGATCACTACCATTATCATAATTATGATGATTCATTATAATTTCATTTTGTTTTTGTTGATGAAAACCTATCATTTTGGGTTGAAGACAAAAAAAATTCAAATTAGTGATTTGGGAAATTTTTTTTTTTTTTTGGAAATGCATGCATAGAAAATGATTATAGAAATCTGTAGATGGCGATATATTGAAATTTTTTTTTTTGAATTTTCGCCAAAATCTGATCTAAAAAACTATTCAAGGAAACAATTTTTTCATAGCTCATGTTTTTCTTTTCTTTAAATTTTGTCGATTTCATTGCCACTTCATCCACAATCACACTATCACTTGTGACAAGGTTCACACACTATTTCACACTCATCACCGTCTTATACCGAAGGAAATTTGCAACAAGTTCAATGTGCAACAGCATGAACTACAACACATTTTAAAAAAAAAAAATGTTGCCTATTTGAAATGAAATGAAAAAAAACTAGATCATTTTTTTGTTTTCATCAAATGAAAACAGGAAACATTTGTTTCGAAAACTTTACTTTTGGAACAATTTTTTCTTGAATGACCACCATCAAAATATATTGATTTTGTAGATTTTTTAGATGATTTCAATATCGATAATGGTTGTTTTATTGTTGGTATGGTTGTTGTTGTTGTTGTTTGATATTTTTTCGATAATGATCGATGTAAATGATTTTGTTGAAATTGTGAATTTGATTTTATATCATCATAAATCACATGATGATCACCATCATCATCATCATCGTTGAATTTAATTTTAGTGATTGGATTAAACGCAACTGATTTCGGTAAAATGGATGTATTTAAACTAGGTAACGATACATGACAATTTTTATATCGATGATGATTAGAATTATTCAAAATTGATGAAGATGAAGATGATGATGGATGATGGTCAATTATAAAGGAAACTTTCGTATCACAATCAAAAGAATTATCAATGTTTTGAGAATCATATACAGATCGCAGTAATGAGATTGATGATGGTTGTTCATTGGTGTTTACAAACAATATAGCATCATCGGAAACAGTTCGATCACGTGAAAATTGTCTTCGTTTTTTATTGACAATCTTTACATTGTTTTTTTCATTACAATTAGATGAATAATAATCATCATCGTGGATTTTGACGGAATTTTGATTTTGGCTGTTATTATCGATGATTATTTGATGCGATTTTCCACAATGACAACAACGACAATTATTCGTTTCTTTAATTTCTTTCGAAATGACCTGTTGAAAATATTAAAAAAAAATTGATGACATTAATTATGAGAACAAAAGAACAAAACCAAAAAAATGTGTAGATGCAGAGTTTTCAATCAATCATGCACCGAAATAATTTTAAATTGCTACTATCACTTGTCATCACTCTCATCATCATCATCATCTTTCCGGTGACGATGATGATATTAAATTAAAAAATTGAATCGACAAAAAAAATCTTACCTGTTCATTTTGTTGTTGTTCATCTACTACTAGCTTGTTTCGAGTAACGTGATTATCATCAGCAACAGACGTTTGATGATAGCATGATGATGATGATGATGATGATGTTACATGCATTTGATTTGTATCATCATCAACTTTACTGCCATCAATAATAATGGTCTGTTCATCATCATGATATTTGGCCGCCATCAATTTCACATCGTCATCCTGTTGTTTGCTGTTTAAATCGTTGTTGTCATAGTTTTTCATGGTGTTGATGGCCATTTTTTTCATCTGAATCAATGTTCTAATTCGTTTTTTACGATGATCTATTTGATGATGATTATTATTGCCATGATCTAGTTGTATTGAATAATCATCTTCATCATATTCAGACAAAATTTGTCGGTGACGATGATTGTGGTTTTCCATAGTAATTCGTTGGAAAAACCAAATAGTTTTTCGGCCTATTAATTATTGAAAATATGAACACAAACACAAACATTGATTATGATGATGATGATGATGATGAGAAAAATTTGATCATTTCCATTATGTGGTGAGCGAAAAAAAAACGAAAAATCAATCAATTTAATGAATTTCTTCTATGACAAATAAAAAAAAACAAAACACGAATGTAGCAGCAAAAAAAAAATGTTTACCTTCATACAATCACGCGTGAATCAGTTTAGATTTTTGTTTTCGACGTTGTTGATAGTGATTTTGATTTTCGATTCAAGAAGTATAGCAAGTATAACAAAACAGAATTGCATTTGAAGAATTTGAAGCAATCTGAAAATATAAATAGCTCTTCTCTCTCTTTTTTTTTTACTTTATAAATTAATAAAATAGATAGATACTTGAATCTGAACGAATCTAAAAAAAAAGAAGAAAAAATTAGAAAAAAAAAATATCAAAATAAAAACAAGGAAAAAAACAAACTTTTTTTCTGATTACATTCACGATGATGATGGTTCACAATGAACCTGGTGTGATTGCTGTTGTTGTTGCTGTTGAGGAAAAAATCAGTTATTTTTTACATTCACAATTATCATTCATGCAATATAAAATGGAATTTTCAAATCGAACGCGATTACACATTCATCAGTTTTTTTTTATCACAATGACAATAATCCTGGAGTTGTCGTCATTGGATTTGATGACCAAAACAATAATGACGATGAAGATGATGATGATGATGATGATCTGACAACCGCCCACCATTGGTGAGAATGCACATTTGTTTTAAATTTCAAAATAAACAAAACGACATTGATTTTTTTTTTGCACAAACAAGTTGATTCTGAATGATGAGCGTTGGAAAAACAATGAAAAAAAAATTATTTCCAATTTGACAATTATCCTTCAAAACAATTGGCCAAAAATCGTCTGTTTTTACAAATTTCCATTGTATGTGGCATGTGTATGTGTTTTGTTTGATTTTCAGCCGGAAAAATATATGATGCAATCATCATCATCATCATCACCATCAGGCTACAATATTGTGGATGGAGGGAAGAAAAAAGAATGAAAAGGGAGAGAGAGAGAGAGAAGGAAGTTAAAGTTAGATTAGTTAGTTGATCATTGAGAGAAAACATAAATATGCCATGCCCATATCACCTGATTTTTTTTCGGACAGAAACAAAAAAAAAAAATGGTGGTGGTGGTGGTGGTGGTGGTGGTGCTGGTCATGGTTAGTGACGATTAACTTGTACTAACCGAACGATATTTTTTTATTGTGTTGGATTTATCATTAAATTATAGATTTTTTTTCAAATTCAAATCAATAAATTATCTCCGAAAAAATAAAGAAGACAATATCGATGATGATGATGATGTAATAACCACAATTCGAAGAAATTCTATTTTTTTAAAGTAAATATAAAACACCATCATTGCCATCTAGTGTTTAATATTGAAAATGCAAAAAAAATTGATAAATTCGATAATGAAAATTTTGATTTGATAAATGATGATTGTCATTGATAATTACTAATAAACTCGGGGACTCATTTTCTCACGTTAAATTTTTTTTTTTTTTTTTGATTAAATTATCATACTGATGAACTTGTAACAACAATGTCACAAACAATGAATGATTTTAATGGTAAAGTTGCCATCGTCACTGGATCATCATCTGGTCTAGGTGAAGCTATTGTTTGTATGCTTTCAAAATGTGGTTGTCGTGTTACCATACATGGTCGATCAGAAGAAAATGTTAATCGTGTAGCTGAAAAATGTCGTACATTGTCACCGAAAAAATTCACACCAAACAAATGCATTGGAGATCTTCGTAATGATCAAGTTGTCGAAACAATTATCAAAACAACCATTGAAATGTTTGGACAAATTGATTTTCTGATCAATAATGCTGGCGGTCATTATCTGGCCAATCTTAGTGATTCAAATGAAATCCGAAATAGCTATGATTATATATTTGGATTAAATGTTCGATCAACAGTGTATTTGACATCATTGGCCGTACCATATTTGGAAAAATCCAATGGTGTCATTATCATCATATCATCTATTGGATCATTTTCTTCTGTAAGTTTTTCTTTTCGTTGTTTTCAAGCACCATTAAATTGTTTATCATTTCAATTAGTTTAACAATGAAAAGACAATCATTTATGAAATGTCTAAAGCAGCATTAGACCATATGGCACATGGCATGGCATTAAGTTATGGACGTCGTGGAATTCGTATCAATACAATCAAGTATGATGTGATGTTATTCAAAGAATAGAATCAAATTAATTCTTTCATTTATTCTTGAATTTAGTCCTGGTCCATTTAAAACAGCTATCTATCGTAATTATAGCGATCAAGATGAATATGAAAAAGAATTAAAATCCTATGAACAGTTATCACCATTAGGACGTTATGGTGATCCAGAAGAATTGGCAAATCTTGTTGCATTTTTAATTTCACCAAATGCATCTTATATAACTGGAACCAATGTAGTTATCGATGGTGGTTCTTCAATACCAAGATTTATTTGAATATACCTGTATTTTATTTCACATATATTTCTCGTATTGTTTTCCGATTTTTAAATGGAAAAAATTGATCAATCAATCAATCTCAATAAAAATGAGAATCTTTTTTTATTATTATTTATTTTTCATCAAATGATTGTTTTTATTGCGATTGCGAATTTATTATTAATTGATAAAATCGATAAAATAAAACAAACATGCAAGACAGAAAGAAAAAACAACAACAACAACAACAACAACAACAAATTGACCAAGCAGAAAAAAAATATATTCGATACAATTCTCAATCTATCTACAAAATATCAAGAGAGCGAGCAAGTGAGAGAAAAAAAAATTCAATCTTGATCACTTTATCATCAGAAGAAAAAAATGGGGAATTGAAAAAATCAATAATTACCATTGATCGATTAGTTTATGGGTTTTTTTTTGATTCACGTAAAAGTGACCAAATCAATCAATCAATCGCAATTTGTTTCCACAAAAAGGCTTCACAAATAAATACGACACGTCTTTAGCCCCAAAAAAAAAATAATAATGGTGCAAAAAAAATGGCAAATGGATCACGATAAAAAAAGTGTTGCAAAATGTGAGTGGCAAAAAATCTGGAAAAACAAAATCTATAATCGAAGAATAAGATGATGATGCTGCCGATGATTTTGAAAGTTTTGCCATCTAAATGATGATGATTGTCGATAGATCGATGATGATGATGATGATGATTATGAATTGAATTGATGATTGAAATGTAAAAGTATTTATTATTGTTTGTTTAAGTAGTAGCTTAATTGATTGATTGATTTCTTTCCATTCATTTATTTACAAGCAACTTTAACATCGATAAATAAATTATTACAATCAGCTGGTGGTTTCAATGTCAAAAATCCACGTGATATAACAGACAATGTAAATCTTTTACGTGGTGATCGTCTAGCCAGATCACTACAAACAGTGATCACATTATCATTAACATTTGAACAATATTGTAGTTCAAGATTCTGTAAACGATACATTCGTGATAATGCTTTACAGATTTCTTCATCAATTATAACACGATGTAATTTCAGATGTTGTAAATGTGGTAATGTTGCAATCGATTTCCATACGGTATGTGAACAATTTGTACATATTCTATGTCCATATCTATATATATTGTGGAAAGTAAAGTTGAGTAAAAGTTTCCAAAATTCATATATTAAAATATAATCCACTTACCTTCTAGCTAGATGATCACAACGAAATTCAATTGCATAAAGCACTAATTTTCTCAATTGTGGCATATGTTCGTGTATTGCACGAACCGATTCTTCTGTAATGGATGCATATTGTATTGTTAAACTTTTTACAGATGACCATCCTAATTGAATAAATTTCCGGAATGGTTGATCAACATTTCCCGATACGAATTGTAGATTTAATTCATTCAGATTATCGAATAATAAACTAGCTGGTGTTGCAACGTCGATATCAAAATTATGTATCCGTAGATATAATGATCGTAAATTACAAAAATTTGAACCAATTGTCGATATTACTGAATCAATTAGATCGGGTGGTACATCAACTCGACCTATTGTTGAAACAAAATTAGTCAATAACAAAAAATTCGAATTCAATCAGAATTACCCAATGATATAACTTTTTCAGCATAATTTCTATATGCCAACAGCGATACACATTCTAGACCTGAAAGTGAAAAATTTTGATTAGAAAAACAAGAACGAAATCAAAACAAAAACAAACAAAAAAAAAATCTTACCGATTCCATGTTCACAATTGATATAGATTCTTTTGATCGTATGTTTAATCACCGATAAATAAGAAAGAATATCAATTTCATTATTAATTCTTAATTCCTCAAGAATTGTAGAATATTTTAGCAAAATATCAATGACAATTGAATCAACGGATGATAAACTACCCAATGAAAGACAACGAATTTGTGATCCAAATTTTTTAGCGAATGCTTTCCATTGCAACAGATGACTTTGACGAATTTCATGACGAATTTGTTCCTGTTCCACATATGCTTGAACATGATCCATTTTATTATTATCCATTTGCGATGCCATCATTATTGCATCCATTTGATTCTGTTGATTATGATGATGTTGATGATGATGATAATTTTGTTGTGAACGGGAACTATGCTGTGATTGACCAGGATTTGTGGTGGTAGTAGTTAGATTCATACTACTTGGATGGCTATTGGAATTGATTTCACTACTATTTAAATCAGCAATTTGATTTCCAGTCATCATACTAGTACTTCCACCGCTTCCATTACTACTACTTGCACCACTTTGACTTGTTGTCGTTGTCGTTATCGTATTATTAAAACAACGATTACCACCAGCACCATCTGAATCGATTGTTGTTTGTATACTTGCAACAAGATTTGGTGATAAATGATTCAGTTGTTGTTGCTGTTGTTGTTGTTGTTGACGGCTTCCAGTTCCTTTTGTATGATAACTATTTGTTGCCATACTAGTAGATTCATCATTCAATGTTAATAAACTATCATTACTATTGATTGTATCATTTATAACATTGATTGACATTAATTGATCTTCAGATCTCATCATCATCATTGAATTCTGTACACGAATCTGATTATTTTGTGTTAAACGATGTTTAGACCATTCACGACGACGTTGTGTTGCCGTCGATGATGATGCTGTTGATGTTATCGATGTTTTTGATTGAAGTTTTTGTAATTGATTCTGATGTTGTGAAGATGTTGTTGGTGTTTGAAAAGTTATCGTTGGTGATTGTGGTCCATTTTGTGGTGACGGTGTTTTTGCTTGTTGTTGCTGTTGCTGTTGATGATTTATTTGAGTTTTACGAATTATATTCTCCAATGAAATACGCATATCATCATGTGGAAAATATACGGCAGTTGTTTTTTCATGAATCGCCGCTGCTACAGAATTCATTGGTGTGGCCATCGAAGTGGTTGTATTTGTTGTTGTTGAAAGATTTAAATTTGGTGTTGTACGAGTCATTATTGTTGATTGAATCAATGGTGACATTTCATTCATCATACGTTTACCGGTAGCTGATGCATTAGTACGATTCGAATTATTTGCTCCTGATGGTGATGATATTGGTGATGATTTGGTTTGATTAACAGGAGTTTTACATAGCGAGGTCGTTACAATTGAACGACTTCCAGGGCTACTAGCACCTGTACTGGAACGATGATGTTGATGTTGCTGCTGTTGCTGCTGCTGTTGTTGCTGGTGCTGATGATGATGATGGTGATGATGATGATGATGATGGTGATGAATCAAATTCGATGCACTGGATGCAGTGGATTTTTTCGATAAAACCGATGCCTGTGAATGTCGTTTACCAGCTGTATCACTACTAGTTTCTTGATTTTGATTATGTTTTTTCTTCAATGAACGACGTGTTGATAGTTTACGCATTAAACCACCAAATACGGCTAATTGTTCGGATGCAAATGCACCAACTGCTGAGCTAATTGTTTCACCTTGATCACCTTGATGATGACCATTATTATTATTTACAGAATCGATAAAATTTTTACTCTTTTCCAGCAATCCATTCGGTAATTCATCACTATCTTCTTCAAGGCGAATATCATTCAAATGAAGACATTCAATGTTATCACTATGATTCATTATAATCTAAAGAGATGAAAATTTCAAATTAAAAAAAAAAAAAACTCAAAAAACAAACAAATTTTACCTGTAAAGTTTCATCATCCAAATAACAATGTGAAAAATTAATACATTTCAATTGATTACATAATGTGAGCAAATATTTTAAGGTTGATTTTGGATATATAATATAACCAATTTGATCTCTTGGAAAATTTTTCGATGGTGGAAGATCCCAACTAATATAATGTGAGCATTGACAATTGCACTTGACAGAATGTTCACCTATTTTTAATGATGCTGATGATGATGATTGTAATGAACGTCTAATTAAATGTTGCCAACGATGACAAACACGTTCATAATAAAGTTTTTCTTGTAATGATAAAAATTCAAATATTGTAATAAAACATTCGTCATTTAAATCCATCAATTTGATTGGTTGTCGTTTATTATGTTTATTACGGCTACCACGACGGCTACTACCACCACGACCACCACCACCAATAATAGTTGTGTCATCCATTTTATTATTAAAATTTGTGCTATTTGTTGTATCGAAAAAATTGAATCGTCGATTCAAAACTCGTAATGATGAAGCTCTTTTCTGTCGACCATGATTATTATTTGATGATGATGATTGTGATGATGGTGTTGATAGGCCACCACCAACACCACCATCATGTTGTTGTACCATTTTTTTCCTTAATGGATCAACAACAATGTTGCCACCACCACCACCACCGCCGCCGCTGCTGCCGCCACCAATATTTTTTGATAATGATGATGCCGAATTATTTCGATTATTATTATTTTCAGCCGACGATATATTTCGGGCTTTTTGACAACAGCAACACTTATTCATTGAATCGTTTCGAAAATCTGTACCAATATTAATCGCAGTATGCGGACAATGAGATGCTGAACGTTGTCTTTGAATCATTTCATTCAAATGTTTAATTTTTTGTAAATTTAATGTTAATTTTGATCGTCGTAAATTTCTATTTGATGTTGGTGATTGTAATGTTGAATTATTGTATGGACAATGTAAACAATGATGATGGTGACCACTATTATACGATGATGATAATGATTCAATATGTGATGGTGATGATTGTGTTGATGTTTGATGTTCAATTAATCGATAATGATGGTGAATTCGATGTCGATGTTGATTTTTTAATTTTTTATTCGTTAAAGCTAATGTTGACGTTGTCGTTGTCGGTGTTGTTTTTTTTATGTCATAATCACCATCACTAGCAGCACCATTGTCTATCAAAGATGGCTTTTTTCGTTGTTGGTATTGTTGTTGCTGTTGGTTTATTGTCGTTGTTGTTGCCGATATCGATTCTTGTTGATAATGGTGACAATCGCTTTGTGGTTGTGGTTGTTGTTGTCGTATCCCAGGTAACAACAATAATTCTGTAGGTCGATTCTGATATTCTTTTTCATTGTCTTCTATTATTCTGTTGTGTACTTTTTGCTGTTTTTGCTGCCCATAAGATGATGATGATGATGATGGGGATGGCGATGGTGATGGTGATGGTGATGGGGATCGAAATTTTTGGTTTTTTCTCACTAAACTACCAACAACAACAGCCGCAACATTTAAACAAGTTCGATGAGTAGTGGTTGACTGTTGTTGCTGTTCTTGTTGATTTAATTCAAATTCTTCTTGAATCGTTGGACTAGTGGTTGTATTTGATTGTTTTTTTTGATCACAACGACGACGACAACGACGACGACAAATACCAATGAAGATTGATTGAAAACAATTGAAAAATATACGTGGACAATGTGCGGAAATTAGTTGAATGAATCGATTATGATTTCGTTGTCGTTGTTGTTGTTGTTGTTGTTGCTGTTGTTGATTATTCGTGCGCTTATTACACCAACAACATTGATTTCCCATTTCATTTCATTTGATTAATGCAATCAAAAAAAAAAAAAATTCCAATGTATTGAATCCATATCGCAGTACAGGTTGATTAAGTAGTAATTAAAATGTGATGGGTTAATGAGAAATATTGCCCCCACCCACCCATCCTTCCGCGCGCACACACACACCGACACCGACACCGACACAAACACCAACACAGGGACACATAATCGATGTTTGTGTACCATGGAGAACCAAGCAAAAAAAAAAAAGAAAAACCACACACAATTTTCTGATCAACTTTTGCCAAAAAAAAAGAAGAAACTTTTTCTTTTTTATTGAATTCAAAAGTGACGATAATAAGTTTTCGTTGTGTTTTCAATCATCACTTTTATATTTTCTGTCACTTTATTTATGTCATCGTTGATGATTGGTAGTCGTTTTTTTTTGGGCTTCAAGAAGTGAACGAAAAAAAACAAACCTATAACCAACACACACACACAAACAACATTTGTGGATCGATCATTTATATTGATCGTTCCAAAACAAAAAAAAAAGAGAGACAGTTGGGCAAATCATCACAACGATAATAATTCACAACCCAAAGAAGATTCCATTTTTTTATTATTATTATTTGCGACCAAATAAGATTTCATAGTGGTGGTGGTGGTATATTTATGTTTTTTTTTCCATTTTATTATTATTCAGTTGCATATTTTTTTTTTGTTTGTTTGTATGTGTCTTGGACACATTTGTTGTTGTTTTCTTTACGATCGATTCTTTTTCTTTGTCTTCGTCATATATTTTTTTTTTCGCAAGAATTTCCCGCTACATGATGATGATGATGATGATGATGATGATTAACGCCTACGAATAAAAAACAAGAAAACCTTGTCATTAGTACACTTGATATGTCAATGGAATTCATTTTCGAACAAAAACAGAAAAAAAAATTCTCAAAAATATAAATAAGAATCGGTAAATATTATTTTTATTTTTTTTTCTTGTTCTGAACCAACAGAATTCATTCATTCACTTTTTTTCTGGTGAAGAAACTATTCATTATGTGTGTGTTTTTTTTTGGTGAACCAAATTGAAATACTTGGTATATCAGTGGTTCAACAACTTTTTTTTTCGTTTTCGTGGAACACACACACACACACTTTACACGATTTTTTTTTATCGTTGCCAAGGTTTTTTCCATTCACTACAAACACTGGTTGTCGTTGGTTTGTTGTTGTTGTTGTTGTCAATGATGATAATCAAAATATATACGGGCGAACAAAAAAAAAATTTCTGAAGAAAATAGAGAATCAAAACAACAACAACAACAACAACAAACAAATAAAAAACAATGGCAGAATTTTATTGAATTGAAAAAAATTTTTTCCCTTTTGTCACAACACATGACGTAATCATTTACCTACAAGAAAAACAAATCAAATTCCATTCATATACAAACAAATAGAGATAAAAAAAATGGTGTCAAGTCAGTTGGGCTGAAATTCATTCATTCATTCCTTTTTTTTCATAATTTTGGCCTGTTGTTGGTGTTTTTGTGGTTGTAATTGTCGTCGTCGTTGTCGTTGTCAACGTCATCATCGTCATCATCCAGAATAACAAATTACAATGATGATGATGATGATGATGATGAGAACAAATAAATTAAAAACTCATCATTCATTCAATTCCTTGAAACCTTGATATACACACACACAAAAAAAAAAAAATTTGTGTCAACGTCGATTTGACATCAGAATTGAAAAAAAACCCGGTGATAAACTAAACGGAAATAGTGGGGTTAGATGAAAAAAAAATTCTCTCTCTATATATATATATATTAAAACATACACACATGACGATGATGATGATGATTAAAGAATATATTCATGAAATTCGTTTGTTTGTTTTATGAAAAATGATTATGATGATGATTATTATAATAAAATGTGTTTCCTACTACTATACAGAAACAGCAAAAAAAATGTTTTCCATTTATTTCACATTATACGGGTACATAAACACACACACACACACACACTCTGAACCCAAGAATTACTACCAAAAAAAAAAAAAAAATTATCACAATTCTTATATCAAACACCTTTTTTTTGCGAGTCTCTCAAATCAACAACCAACAACAACCGACAACAATTCATTAATGTTTATGCAACCAGCATATCATTCATTCATTTTTTATTAATCGAAAAAAACATAATGAAAATGTTTATTTGTAGTGGTAGTTTGTACTGTTTGTGTGTGCATATAACAAGTGTTTCCGTTTTTTTTAAACTGGAAAAAAATGGAAAATTTTTTTCTCACTTTTTTTTTGGTGCCCTTTCACATTATATCCAATGTGGACATTTGGATGAAACATTGGATGTGATACGTGTGTGTAGAGACAGAGCAAAAAAAACGACTCTTAGACTGTGTGTGTGTGATACATAAATTAATTTTTTGTTGTTGTTGTTGTTGTTCACTGAGCAGCCCCCACAATATCCCCGCAAAATATAATTTGGAACAAAAACAAGACAGTTTTTCGGTTGTTGTCGGTTGGTTGTTGTTGTTGTTGTTGCTGATGGCAATAGCAATGAATAAGAATTGAATTGAATCGAATGAATTTGTGATTAATAACCTGGGCCAACAACAACAACGACCACCAAAAAAAAAAAGAAAAGAAAGAAAGAAAAGTTTATGGCATAATTCTCGATAATACAAGAGCAACAGCAGCTTGTAATATTTTGGAGCATCGTCGTCGTCGTCTAAGGTTGTTAATATTTGTATTTTTTTTTGTTCGTGTGTGTGTTTGTCATCGACAAATTCATTTCTTCAAACAATTTTGCTTTTTATAAGCAAACATATCATATCATATATCTCATAAATTTATGACGCTGAATGGATCTAGATTTTTTTTTTTTTTTAGAACAAAAGAAATTAAACGGACCAGAACATAGAGACAAAAAAAAAGAATAATAAAATAAACGACGATTCGATCTCTTGTTGTGTGTAACTCAAAAAAAAAACACACACACACACACACACACTCATAAATAACAGAATCTGTTTAAACAAAAATTTTCATCGATTAATCGATGAAAATAAATTTTCAATCAACAACAATAATAATAACCAAGTCAACAACACAGAGGAATCAATGATCAATAAATCATCATCAATGACAGAAATACAGGTGATCAGGTCACCAGACGTCATTATTCTATTTTTATCAAAATAGCGGACATAAAAAAAATTACCTAGCCACGTCTAGATAGATATAGATAGACAGTGTGATTGAAAGTTTATTTTTAGCTTCCAAAACCTACGTACAAACATTAATAATCGAATTTTTTAGATTCAAATGATTGCCAATTGCCAATTGGTAATTTTGTCTTCACTGTTTTGTTGATCGTCTGGTTTTCATCATCAACAGCGAAATCTTGTTCTCATAGAATCTAGATCAAATGAAAAGTCAAGTAAAAAAAAATTTTTTGACGCTGGTGGGAACCAAAAAAAAAAAAAAAGTTATACTTTGTAAAGAAAAATAGACGTTTTAGGTAAACCTATAAATCGTTGTCGTCGTCGTCGAGCACAATAATATTTTAACGATTATGTAATGGCCATAAAAAAAATAAAGAATCAACAAACTAAAGTAGAAAAAAAACGAACGAATGAATAAAAACAATAGATTATTTTCCACATAAAAAAACCGAAATGAATTACCGACCTTGTGGTCGGTATTTTTATTTTTTTTTTTTTGCCAATTATTGATCGTTGCCATCATTGTTAATCGCATGGGAAAATTTTTTAAACACTACTACTACTACTACTACTACTACAGAATCGAAAATAAGAATACAATCGATCGTTATCATGAAAGCATGACTTGATGTTTTGATGAAATCACACACACACATTGCAAATCAAATCAATTGATCGATCGATCTACAATACACACACACAATCGTAAATTTTGATTGATTATCTATTTCATCGAATTGAATCGATACACGTCATCAATATTTCAAAATGTTGAATTGAATGAACAAATTATCACCACTGAAGATGATGGGTATAAAACCAGAATTCTTGGAAAAAAATAAAATTGTTTTTTTGTCAAAGAAAAAAAAGTTCTTGAAAAAAAACACACACACACTGATGATGATATAGAAACATTGATGATTGTTTCTTTTTTGTGTTTTTTCGATTCTTTTCGTTTCCATATAATCGAAATGATGATGATGATGATGATTATGATAACGATAATG